TTGAAGATCTCGTAATCAACCTGGAGGTTGGACTTGCGCCACTTCCGCTCGGCCCTCCGGCACTTTCTCTTTTGTGCCCTGACCGAGTCTGCTTTAGCCCACGGCGCCTTCTGCTTATTTTTCACTATTTTAACCTTCACAGGGGCAACGGTATCCAGAACATTCAAAACACTAGAGGTGACAGAGTTAAACAGTTCATCTACAGTAGAATACGATGCATTCTCAAAGTTTATCATTCCCATAAATAGTTCACTCGTATTTTCATTTATGCGCCTTCTTCGAACAGTTGCAGAGTCCACTGGTGGTTTGTTAGTGAAACACATGTCAAAAAAAACACAGAAATGATCCGAAAGAGCAACATCGACCACGTTTACATTTGAAATATTCACCCCCTTTGTAACTAACAGATCTAGAGTGTGCCCTTTGCTGTGGGTGGGGCCACTTACGTGCTGAGTGAGATCAAAGGATTCAAGTACAGAACTCAGCTCATTTGCATTTCTGTCATCAACATTATCCACATGAATATTAAAATCACCTGTAATAACCAAACTATCAAAATCTGTGCATACAACTGAAAGCAACTCGGTAAAATTATCAATAAAACTGTGACATGACTGCGGTGGCTTGTATAGGCCAATGAAGAGTATTGGAGGAGATTGTTTTTATTGTATTTTAAAAGACACATATTCAAATGACGAAAACTTCCCAAGAGAAATTCTATGGGAGACAAAGTGGTCTCTAAAAAAGGCAGCTAAGCCTCCTCCTTTTTTGTTTTCCCGTATTTCAGATTCAAACTTGAAATTTGGTGGTGATGCTTCTATTAAAACTGCATTTTCTGAATTTTGGTCAAGCCAAGTTTCAGCCATGAACATAAGATCAAGATTATGAGAACAAATAAAATTATTGATTAAAAAAGACTTGTTACAAAGAGATCTGACATTAAGCGTAGCAAGTTTCAAAGTTTCAGTATCAGCGGTTGCGGTCGGCTGATTCTTACACGGAACAAGAATTAGATTTTCCAGATTAGACTGATTAACTTCAGATGTTTTTCTGTTATGTATTCTTTGTGTTATCACTAAGGGAATGGCACAGGTGGCTTCATGACAGGGCCCCAGCCGGGTCTCTCCTCTAACTAGACTGCCAGTGGCTGCGAAGCAGAGACCCTGTGCATCCTAGTGTTTAGAGAAAAGAGGGGAAGGGGAAGGCAGGGGAGGAGGATGGAGAGGTGGGTGGCTTTTGGGTGTTGAACGAGGGGGGCAGGGAGGTGGAGGGGTTTTAGGTGATGGGTTAGGGCCGGGTGGGCTGAGGCAGAGGTTTTGGATGTTGAACGAGGGGGAAGTGGGGGTGGAATGGTCATGAGGTTAGGGGAGGGACTGGCTGAGGTGGTTTTTGTAGGTGAATTGGAAACCCTAGGTGGTTTTGGAGGTACATATGGGGAGTGGTTTAGCATGTTGGACAGGACTCTAGATCGAGCTAATATGGGTGTGAGAGGAATAGTCTTCATGGCCGATTTTATTAGCCCTGCAGAGTGTTCAGGTAGGTCTAACAGTGAAGGCGGGGATGAAAAACAAAGGGAGGTGTCCCCATTCTCTCTTGATGGAGTGGACGTGGCAGGGGGGACCCAAGACAGGTCCATGGGAGGTGGCGAGGGAGTCTTTGATGGAGGGGCAGGTGGTTGAGGAAACCCCAGCACAGGCCTGTCTGCTGTAGGCTGGGGTGAGGATGGGGGCTTCTGAGGCGCTGTAGATGAAGAAGGCGTGGCTGCTTTGGAGCAGGCTGGGGATGAGGATGTTGGTGGTGGTGGTCGTGCTGCTGGTGCTGCTACTGGTGATGATGCAGCTGCTGCTGGTGATGATGCAGCTGCTTCTGATGACAGTGGAGATGTTGAGATCCTTTGAGGCGGTGATGGTGTTGAGATCCTTCGAGGTGGTGGTGGTGTTGAGATCCTTCGAGGTGGTGGAGGTGCAGAGACTTTTGGAGTTGGCTTCCTCCCTTTCGATGGCTGCACGCGCTGCGCAGGCTGAGGTCTCAGGGCAAAAGAAAGGTTATCCATCAACACTTTTACTCCGTAAGTGTTCAGATGTGGCCCTTTCCCTTCAAAAAGCTCATGCCTATTCCAGAACAGATTAAAATTCTCAATGAAGGCAAGTCCTCTGCGTGAACATTCGTTGAGTAGGAAAGTATTTAGCTGATACAGACGACTGAATTTAATTTGCTTCCCGTCCACATTTGGTAGTGGGCCACTGATAACGATTGTTGTGTCCATTTTAGCAAGGTCGTCCAATAAGAGAGAATAATCCCGTTTCAACTTTTCACTTGTGTTGTCATAGACGTCTACTGCCCCCACGTGGATCAACAATCTTTTTACCCCGCCGGTCTCAGACAGAAGCCTTGGAGCCAACCGCCTTATCTCATCCACTTTGGCAGAGTGTACTGAGTGAACCTTGAGATTACGCATATTTACATTTCTTATCGCCGAATCCCCGATAAAGAGCGACTCAGCTGCATTTGACCTTGACTGAGACTGAGACTGGGACTGAGAGACTACTGCTGATTCATCTTCCAAAAGTGGTGAAAAGCGGTTTCTTGTAAGATTTTTGCTGTGGCATTATAACACTCTTGTTATCATTAGCTTTGCCTTGTTTGGGCTTGGCACCATATGTGTTCCAACAATTGTCTCTGTTGATTTTGGGAAATGAAATAGCGTCATCATAACTTACGTGCTGTCCATTTGGTCCATTTCCTTTCACTGGTATTGTTGTGTTCAGCCCCAATTCTGATTCAAGCACAAACATTCGGTCTTGAAGAAGTTTTAGCTCCTGTTTGAGTGAAAAACAGCCGTCGCAAAGTTTTGTTCTTTTTTCCCGTCCTCCCGACATGCTGTAAGTTAGGTAAATTCCACAAGTCTTGTGTTGAAGTTTGTAAAAAGGAGTAATCCGTGTTTTGTGGAATAAAAATGTAAGCAAAAATGATTAAAGGAGATAAAAAAGCAGCAAGCGAGGAGCAGCAAGAGAATGCGACTGCTCTGTCCAGAGCTGTCGCATCTGTATAGACCAAAATCACAACAGCGGTCGTCTCTGAGGACAAAGTTGTCGATTCGCCAACAACAGAGCAGAGAATTAAACCGTTCAAACACAGGAAATACAATAATAACAAAGACATGGGAAGTGGGATGTCCATAAATGTTAATACATGTGCATAAATATCCATACATAAATATACAATAGGAATATTCTATAATGCCTAATTTAACTGTCTCTTAAAAAAAAACAATAGAAGAAATCATGGGTCCATTAACCGATTTATTTGTGCCCACATTTTAAACCTAATTTCCTTCCAATGATTTCTGATCTTTGCAGCACGGTTGCTGAGTGGTTAGCAGAAGGTCCTGCGTTCGATTTTGCCTCCAGACGGGGCTTTTCTGACTGGAGTTTGCATGTTCTCCCTGTGTTTGCGTAGGTTTCCTTGGGGTGCTTTGGTTTCCCCTAGCAAACTACAATATCCACAATACAAGATATTCTCAAAAATCAGTTGGACTTTTCTGGTTAAAGAAGGTCAATAAAACCAATACAAATGGATAGATAGATAGACGGATAGATGGATAGATAGATACATTATTGATCCAGAAAGAAATTATGCATGGATCACTTGCTCCCATTCGCTCAAAGGCATATTTTTGAATCCCAACCACAAGCCAATCACGAACCCCACACAACTAATATTAGCTCACTGAAGGTAATATTGATCAACAACAGAAATGTTTCAATAATTAATGTATCCAAAAAACTAGATAAATATATTTTTATTCACAGCACCATCAACTGCACAAGTTACAGCTCATTTCAACTTAAACGTGTAAGTTATTGCAGCTATTGCATAATCCTTGTTGATTCTCATTTGAAATCACAGCCCACACCCAGGGCTTAATGCCACTTAGCAAAAGAGCCCATTGATGCTAAGTGACGTTTGACACACACTGTTCTACCTGCTGTGCCAGTGGGCTTTGCAGCATCAATGATATGAAAGAGCCTGTGCCTCAGTGCCTTCATATAGAGCTTCATATGTGTCCACACAGGAACTGCTGGCATCATCTGGTTTTCTCAAGCCTGTTTTTTTCATCCAGCCGGTCAGACAAGGAGAGTGTTGTAGGGAAAGGTTCGGGGCGTCTCGTGCTCAGATGTGTAGGATGTCTTTAGTTAAAGCCGGGACTAGCTCGCACTCACTTGGGGGCCCACACCAGAATGGGCCAGTGTCTGCGTCCGTGCTCCTCCGCTATGGACAAAAGAAGCATAGTTGTGTTTTAGTGTAACCTGAGCGTCCTGTAGAGATTCCAGCCGCAGTATTGGGTTTTGGTTTGTTAACAACTCACCGGCTCGTACTGTAGATCAGATGGTTCTGGTTTTGTGCATTCTGCCCACCACAAAGCCAGACTTTGTTGAACTTCTGTTTTTTTTTTTGGATGGAGTAATTCTTGGAACCTCAGGTTGAAGGCTATATTTGTTACATTTGTTGTATCTTATTGTTCCAATGGTTGAAATGACCCAACATCCTCACAAGATTGTCATCACACCAATCCAAAATTTAGGATTTATCTATGAATTTATTTAGACTTTTTTGTGATTGTTGGACACCTGACACTTTTATTGATGTCATGATTCTTCTTTCTCATAAACATAGAACCTGTTTGGATTGGGTTAATAACAAACATTCATTTCATTTCAGTTATCTGTTTATTCCAAAAACCATCATCAGCATAATCTGACAACAGAATAATACAATCAATATACAAGGTTTGGAAAGGGGGTTGGCTGAAGCAAACGCTTGTATAATACATACATACCGCACATTACAAATTAGTATCTCTTAGCATAGTACTTTTATTAGAGGCCCTTTACTGTAATTTCTAAAATTAGATTCCATTCAACGCTCAGATTCACATAAATGAAAGGTAACATATTTCAGATACTAGTATCCTGACTGTATTATCCTTGGTCCCACAGCGCGGGCATCTCCTTACAACCCCTCCTCTGGCTCCTGTAAGAGCCGGTGTTTTGAGCTGGTGGAGTTGGACCCTCCAAACTGTCGCTGTGACAACCTCTGTAAGACTTACCACAGCTGCTGCTCCGACTTCGACCAGCTCTGCCTCAGGACTGGTAAGTCACATACATATATTTTATACTTAAAGAACCATAATGTCAATGCAATAATGCAATTGCATTCCTATGGTACTTGTTACAATCAGCCCACTCCAACCTCCCCCAATCATTCACGCCCATCAGGGTTATACAAAGCAATGTGGATGAAATGTCTTCTTTGTATCTGCCCCACTGTGGCTCCTGGTGATCCCAACACAGTACTAACTCTTTCACATCTAGGTGGCGCCACATGAACCAGAACAAGATAATGGCCAGTGAATATATAATTGTATGTGAACAGAGTTTTATTGAAATAATGTAATAGAATTTCAAATGGATTGCAGAAGTCTTTGTAATTGTTTTTATGATAAATGCTTTTGTTTATACCACATACAGTATTTACTTATTATTTGTTAGAAATAGGATCTACAATCTTGACATTTTAAATATCCATCCATCCATCCCGTCCAACACTCAATATTCACATGATTGATTCACCCTAAAACTTTATTATCGCTGTTGCTTTGTTATGTTTATGCTGACATAGAAGACATTGAACTTTCTTCTTCATATCTGTCTTATGGATACTCGTGTGATTGCCACAATTAACAATAATCCATACTCAAATTAAAACATCTACCTTTTGACCACATTAAACACTAAAATCTGTTTGCAACCTCAATTTAGTGCTGACATATGATGTGTACGGACCTGTAACCTACACTTTCGATTGTACTATATCTAAACAGTCGAAAAGTCTTGCTGTTTTTTATGATAATATAATAACAGAATATTATAATCTCTATTTTATATTCCTCTTTACTCTCCACTGCATGTCCCCAGTGTTGTTCCGTCAGCACTTCCCTCCCATGTCCCCAGTGTTGGTGGTCTCCTCCTGGTGGTCTACGGCTAACCACTGCTTTGCCACTCGCTCTATACCCGTCTGCCCCAGATACATGTTAGAACCATTTCAGTTTTTCCCCCTGACATCGGCTCATGGATAGTGATCTAGAATGACCCATTGAATAAATGTTTTACCTTATAAGATATAATCGTCCATTCCCATAGCCAAAAGTGAGATGCCAAACCACCAGCATTAAAATATCAAGTGTAATTTATGTGTGTGTGTGGTTTGACTATTTGAAAACTGATCCATGACATGAATTTAGGAACACAATACATCTTGAGTGTGGATTTTTGTGGCTGTTAATACGTATTTATTGAAGGCATGTTGACATTTGGCAGAAGGAGGATATGAGTGCAGTAAAGACCGTTGTGGAGAGTTGAGGAATGAGCAACATGCCTGTCACTGCTCTGAAGACTGTCTGGCCAAAGGAGACTGCTGCACCAACTACAAAGCCCTGTGCCGAGGCAAGTGATGGCTGCATTTTAGAATACGTTCGTTTGTGTTTACATCTGCAAGCTTGTATAGCATTTGTAGCCTAGACTACAGTACTCATTTATAGAACTATTGAGCAAACCTGCATGTAAACCACACCTCATGCATTTGAAGAGAAAGTACATTTTCTCTATTATGTGAATCTGCAGGTTTTTATGTTGTAATGTAGCACTTAGCCAAAAGTTGATGTGCAGATAATGAAGTAAAACAAAATTGGATAGACATTTAACGGTGAGGTGTTGACTTGGATAAAACTTCATAAATAACTTTGGGAGGCAAACATTATCTCATGTTTGCGTTCATAATTATGAATCTTTTATCCGAAAACTGGATGAGGTCACGTATCTTCTTCAGCCCTAATGCCGTAAGAAGCGTCCTGTGTATTTCCCTGCCGTTCACCTAAACATAAACAATAGTTGATATATTGTGGCCAAATTTTTTCCTGCGCTCCGGGGATACCACGATAAAAATACATAAAATGGCTGCATCGCTATAAAGGCCACAGGGCTCAAAGATCTGGAAAAAAGTAGCAGCTCACAGTCCAGCAATAATGGTGATCATCATGTTGAACAAAAACATGAAAAGATTCAAGGGGTATGAAAACTTTAGCAGGACACTGTAGTTGATGGTAACTTTCGATCCATATTAAGAGTCTTACTTATTTTAAAGACAAGATGTACATTTCAGGTGCTGGTCACTTTTCCTGGCCAGCACCGGCCTCACGTCATTGAGACTGACAGATCTTCCATGAGATTATCAGACTTTTCATCATTCAGGATTACTACAACACATAATCAACAGTGTAACTAACCTGTTTTCAGTTTAGACATTTCATCAAGGAATAATCCTGTTGATGTCTAGTTGTGTGCACACATCCTGAATCCTTACAAGCTGATCTGTTTTTTAGGAGATACATCGTGGCTGCAGGATTACTGCGAGGAGATCAAGAGTCCAGAATGTCCAGCCGGGTATGTTCACATTAAACAAGAATCAAACAGTTATTGTTGTTGTTGTCCACGGCTGAACCCCAATCCTTTAAGACTGAAATCATTAGCTGATAATTGGACAGGCAATTGTCCCATATAGTGTAAAAGTGTCTGATTATCCACCGAGGAGCAGAGATTGGCTCAGGCCTCACCCAATTTTATTGTCATAATTTCCATGAAATGCAGGTTGTGGGAAAGTCCTCAAGAAATTTATATATATTTTTGTGTCAAGAATTGTGTATAGATATTGAACTCTAATCCAGAAAAAAATGACTATGGAGTCAGACCCCAAACCTGTAGGTTTAGTCCAAATTTCTTTTACAACTTTTCTAATAAGTTTCTGAGGAATCTTAATCTAACCTCAAGTCCACATCAATCCATGCAGGTTCACACGTCCTCCGCTCATCGTGCTGTCAGTGGATGGATTTAGAGCTTCATACATGAAGAGAGGAAGTGCAGTCATACCCAACATTGAGAAACTGAGTAAGCGAACATTGCAGAGGCTTGATATCATTGTTTTTATTTTATTGTCATTTATAATAAAAAGATTATGTTGTTTCTTTTCAGGGACTTGTGGGACCCATGCTCCCTACATGAGGCCCGTTTACCCCACCAAGACATTCCCAAACCTTTACTCACTAGCCACAGTAGGTATTTAATACAGCACACTTACTATGTGACTGTGCCCTTTAGAACGAGTCAAAGCCAAAAGCAAAAAATTATTTCTCACAATATTTGTATTACCCACACTAATAAAAGGTATTCATAATATTGTCCTTTCTAGGGCCTCTATCCGGAATCCCATGGTATAGTTGGTAACTCTATGTACGACCCTGCGTTTGACGCCACTTTTACGCTGAGGAGCAGAGAGAAGCTCAGTCATCGCTGGTGGGGAGGGCAACCTGTGAGTAAAATGTTCATTTATCCAAGCACACATTTATGGCATCATTTATTGTTAAAATTACATTTACTTATGCAGATCCAGTTTTTAACCATTTTGCAACATTCTGTTTGCACCCTGAGCCATTGTATCTGTTCAAACAAAATCATTCACTTTTAATTTTTTTTCATTTTTCAAGTCAAATTACATAATTTACAATTGCATACCTTCAATTGGACCGAACATATTGGATTTAAATGTAAATATAGACGGACTGAGATACATCAGCTGGTCTAGGAATACTTTGGGATTCTCCCTGATGCACTGGAGGAAGTTTATGTGGAGAGAAAAGTTTGGGTGTCTCTGGACAGACTAATGCTCTCCTGACCCGGCTACGGGTGATGCGGAAGAAAATGGATGGATGTCCAAAATGGATAGATGTCCATCTATCCATTATGGATGGATGTATGAATGTCCAATGCTCCCAATGCATTGGTGCTTTTTTGGACACTCACAGATGCTTCACATGGCATTATTCATTCACTCCATACACAGTTGTGATAATCAATTATTGTAGCCACAGCTGCCCTGGGGCACATTGACAGAAGCAAGGCGACCAGTATGTGTCCCTTCAACCATTCACGCAACCACACAACATAACATTTGGCTATTTGGGTGCAGTTGGTTGCCTCAGGACCCAACATTAATTTGGTACTTTACAGCCACCCCAGTTCCCAGAGGTCTCCCATCACAGTGCTAACCAGGCCCTGTCCTGCTTAGCGACATAAGCTAAACTGGATCTGGGTTTCACATTCAGGTGCATACACTCTAATCATCTGTTACTCTAGTATAATTTGACCCATGTTTTATATATGATGATTGTGCTTTGAAGCAGATACTGTATTGTTTAACTCATCCTGGAGCACTGCTGTGGAATCAGGATTGTTTGACATTCCAGAGCTTTGTTGTGGTGATTTACCAAACCCTAACATGCAACAGTTTCCAATCAGGCTGGTTTGTTGGACTGAGATTTAAATGTCACAACATAAAATAGTAATATATAACGATTGTGATGTGAACTGTATAATTCTCCCACAAGCCTCGATATTAATCATCTATTCCTACAAGTATTTAATAACATCTTAACGTGGGAACTAAACCCTAGAGTTGCCTGATTTACAGTAGCTGTAACCAAAAAGACTCATTTGGAGCTTGTCTTTCATTCGGTGCAGTCTGTTCCCACACGCCCACACAAACTCATGCTTTACTGTACTCCACATCTCTTTCCCACACTTACTTTCATTGGTTTGTTTTTTTCTAGGATGACAAGTTACATGTGTATCAGTACAAGTACAGTTTGATAGAGTTATGTTTTTCTGTTTTAGATCTGGATAACAGCACTCAAGCAAGGCGTAAAGGCCGCCAGCTTCTTCTGGCCAGTGTGAGTCTCGTTTTCTTTCTTCTTTTGACTTTTTAGAGGAAATGGCTTGTGACAACATATTGTATAAGGGGATATTTATTGTGTGTGTGACTGAAGGAGAACTTAAAACTCAAGAATGCAAAAATAATGATTAATGTTTCTGGGATGATGATTTTGAAAAATAAAAGTCAGAGGTAAAAACACATTCGAAATCAACACAGTACACGGGAACCAGGAAACAGACAGACGAGGACAAACACAGAAAGCGACCGGTAAAAAGGGGAAAGGAGCATAGGTACATAGGTACATATACCCACAAAGCAAGCCGACGTTGAACATAGGTCGCTGGTGGGTGCAGAATGTTTTTTCTGACGTCATCTGGACTTCTTTTCCTGACGTCATCTGGACCTCCAACTGTGGCGTAGATTGCACATCCATTCAAAGTCGGAATGTGGTACAGAACCAGTCGAGTCCGACGTCCTTTCAACGTTTTATATGACCAAAATATCAACGTTTATATAAAGAAAGATTAATAGATTACTTACTGACAGCACAGGATTCTCGCTTCTGTCACCTCTGAGTTTTGAGTGAATGATGAGTGACTTCAGTGTAGCACTTATAGAGACTACAATAAACGTGTTCTATAAGTGCAAGGCATGTTTATCATTATGATAGACACGGGGAGAACATACAAACTCCACTTAGAAAGGGCCTGTTCCAACTGGGATTCAAACGCAGGACCTTCTTGCTGAGAAGCGAGAGTGCTATCCTCTCATTTGCTACCACCGCCATCACCTACTCATCGCATGTCTCTGTTGCATGTAACTGGAACTAGGGGAATCCGTAGCATCTGGAGGAAACCCACAAACATGCAAACTCCGCACACCCAAGTCCAGACTAATATCGAACCCACAACCTTCTTGCCATGAGGCCTGAGCACGACCCTCTCCGCCATCTTTATGTGCATTCACTCGCAGCATGTAGCTCTGCAGGTGGTTTCACTTACTTTTCCTTCTGGCAGAGAGATGTGTGTGGCCAGAGTTAGATTGATGGACTTCTCTTTCCTGGATCACCTGGTATCAGACTTTGAGCTCATACAATTTCGAGTTTAAGCTTTTGCCGTCAACACAGGCATAAGAAAAAACACCTGCATCCAATGTAGCTCTATATTTTAAAGGATTGTGCTGTGTTTGAGCCGGAATAATTGGTTTCTGTTCAACTGAGTGCTTACAAAATCAAAAGGCACATTTTCTTGCTTGAAGGATTTCTCGCAAACCGTGTAGTGACAAGAGTAATAATATTTTGTGTAGAGGCGGTGTGACTGGACCACCCTGATGCACAAATGCACAAACCTTGTACCAATTTTAAATGATTATTAATCCAATCATAGGTAATGATAGGCTCACAGTGCTACACTTATATTCTTTGTTTTCGTTGGTGGGAAATGGCTGACTTTGGCATCGCTCTTTAGATTTTTTAGATGAGTTACTGGCAAAGAAACAAAACGCTCTCAGTTTATCAACAAAACCCACGGGAGCAGCAGTTTTCTGACATCTGCAGCTATGGTGGGAAGGCGATGAGGTCATAATTCACATTTGTGGTTAAAGGAAGTATAGATTTAGATAATAAAAAGAACTTACCGTGCTCAAACCTTCATCCAGCGTGAATGGATGAAGGTTTTTACCCCGCCTCCCACCATGCAGCTCGGCTTGTTCTGGGTATATGGAAGTTTCACATGTTTATCTTCACTCATTTTAATCTTCCTCTTCAAAGATCCATACATCATTTTAGTAATTGCCTTTTATTCTCACCTTTCCTTTATTTTTTCACAATCCCCATTAGTCTCCAGCAGAGCAGAGACTTCTCTTCCTACAGTGATGCCTTTCAGAATGACTGTATCCTATATAAACACACACTCAGTACGGTAAACACATTGACTCACAGTACAAATATACACTTTCAGACCTAGACAATTATCATTATTCTATTGATTTTACAAACAAAATACACGACCCTATAATTGAATACATTTTTCAAGTAAAGATTTCTTAAGAAGCCTCCAAAAGTAGCATGGTTTTACATTAGCTCCATGTGTCCTTCTCCTCTTTACATATTTTTGTTAATAAAAATAAATAATTGTATAATTGAAGTAGCTTTCTCAGACGTACAGGTAAATTCAAGGGTAACCGCGTGAGAATGGATCCAGGCCTACACAATATGTATCGCAATGTAGCCCCCGGAAAAAAAATAACAATAGCCCACCCGTTCATTGGAGAGATGTCTTGTGTTGAAACCGTAGGTAAAAGATACTTGTGAGTTAATACATCAAATCTCTCAAATAAGCAGTTGTAGAGGTGCAAAAGCATTTATTACAAAACTAAACAAAGAATGTAGAAAAGAAGTCAAACAGAAGCTAAACATGTGAAACTAAAATACACCAAATGCTGTGATTAATGTTAACTTTAGCTTGATTGTTTATCGTAGAGTAAAATTGTCTTAGGTCCACCATCACACTGATGACAGATGTTGGTGATAAATGCGATGAAATATAGCTTCATGCAATTACCAAATATATTTCATTAATGCGATTACAACATGTGATATTAAAGTGCACCTCATGAGACTTATCACCACAAAGTATTTCTAACATTTCTCTGTATATCATTTGGAACGTTTTACCGTAGAACAAGTCCGATCATGTTCTCAGTAAAACCTCCCTCTCCCCTTCCTCACACAGACCCCCGCATTTATCCTCAGCAGCGTTGTGTGCGGAGCTGCAGTGTTTTCTCTGCAGTCAGACCTGTTTACACTCTGCTCCGGCTGTGAGCTGAGGTCGCAGACGTGCCACTGCATTCAACCTGAGTGTGGTTTACTGTGCTTCCCGGGCACTTGGCACCACCAGATAACACGGAAAGAGCCCTGGAGGTCAAATATGACTTCAAAAAGTGCCTTTATATAATTGCTTGATATTTGGTTTGTTTTGAATAACTTATTGAAGTGAATCATGTTGAAATTAATCTAAATCCTATGTTTTATGTGTCTATTGTGTGTCTCTGTCCCAATATATGCAAAAATAATACATCATACTTTTTTGGACACTCAAAGGCGCTTTACCCCTTTCCAGGCAGGCGTTGCAGATTTGCAACAATTTAATTTCTTATTTCCTTTTTGCCTTTAGCATGTTTGCACACTTCTGTCTTTTGCACAAATCTGAGTGATTCTTTTCATGCCAAATGTGACGTGTACATTTCTCCTGTGTGAGATCAATAAAGTCTATCTTATCTTATCTAACTACTCCACATCCATATTTTGACCCTTTTTTACTTTGAAGTACCTCTGCCGGACTTAGTTGAGTTCTAGCAACACACTGTTTTCCACCTGCTCACCAGGGGGCAGATCTGTCTCATTTTCTAGGCATCTATTTGAAGTCGGTATCACGATCAACCTCTAATCATTTGAAACCAAAACTGCATAAAATGAAAGATGAATGTATCAGTACATGCCAATCAGGGTTTTTCCCCGGGTCAGCTCTATTTACCACATCAGGCCAATGTTGCAAATCTGCAACATCCTAGAATGCATTGCCTGTGAAGGTCTCTCTCTCTCTCAAAAAAAACCTCAGGATTGTATATTACTACCCCATGTGATTTTCCCCAAATATCAGATTTTTCCTCCTTCAAATTTAATTGGGTCCTGACAATGTTACAAAAGGACACGTTAGCGAGTTCCAGAGATTGGAGACAGCAAAGGCTTAGTCCCCCAAAGTTCAGCACTTTCTGATGGGAGTGAGGAGGTTGAAGTTCGCGGATCTGAGGGACAGTGCTGATGGAGTGGGTCAGGTTATGAAGAGACTTGTACATGATGTTCTTTTATTCTATGCAGTATGGGACAGGGAGCCAGTGGATTTATTTTAGTCTCTGTAGCAGGTGTGAGTCCTAAATGTATTGCAATTTTGGGAGATGATTGGAATTATTATTTTGAGTCTATCAAGTTTATCTGCTTTGTTTTACTCTTTCAGCTGTTGGTTAAGTGTGACATTTTAACTTGAAAACCTCTGTGTGGCATATACTGTATGTTGGACAAAAACGTACTTTCTTTTTAAAATGTCTTTGTTACGGTTCTATACAGCTCTAGTCCAGCAAGTACTGTAATACTGTAGCTTTCTAGTCACCGCACTGTCTTCTCTGCCATGCCGTCACTTGTGCATAGAAAAATACACCAAAATAAACTAGGGCAGCCTAAATGAAGCAGAAAGTGTGAACATGGACATACATGCGGTGTGTCGACGTGGAACCACACCCTACCCCCGCGAGGAATGGCTCTGGGGCCTGATGGTTGACAGCTGTGGGCCGGGTGACAGCCAGGAGCGTGTTTGGTGGCCTGATCATAACTCCCAGTGTACAAGACGCCTTTTGACATCAAAGCACTTAAGAAGCATGAGAGGGATTTAAACATGTTACTTATGTACACGCAACTCCACTTTACAAGACTCATAAAAATCAATTTGGTTAATGCCTTCCAAAGTTGTGAATAGACTGCTTCTGTAATGGTTGTGCACAGGGATGGATTAGATACCTGTTTTTGTTTAGCTTGTTATGCTGTCGGACGTGAAAAAGGAAAAGCCTCAAAATAGTAGCCTGGGGCCTTTTATAGCTGGGGTAGAAATAACTATGCAATAAGACCCATGTAAGTATCATTCTTGGTTCGTTAAAACTGTTTGGTTCTAACTCTCATCTTTGGGTCAGCTTTTTCAGTCAGAAAGACAGCACCATCCCTCAGTCTATATCTAATTTTTTTTTTTTTTTTTTTAAACAAAACGCATGTTGTAGCTTGATTAGGCTGAAGTGTCTTGCCTGTGGACACAACAACAGTGTGACGCTTTACAGATGCAGCTGCCCCACTGTGGCACCTGGTGTTTACAGAGGTCTCCCATCATAGTACTAACCAGGCCCTGCCATACACAGCTTCAGACTGACAGGATGTGGCTTTCGCATGCAAGTTTGTCCAGGTTAAGAATATTAAAGCTAGTTAATCCAGCTTTACGATTCTTGACCTGGTCTTTGCGGTACAAAAGAGTTGAATCAATTCACTGTTTCTGTTTTTATTGATGCTTGAAGTGGCTCTTTCTTCCTGGGGTGATTTTAGATGAGACAGTTTTATGAAGCTGGTGGGCTCATTTTTACATGTTCTGTGTTCCAGGGGCATCCCGTTGGAGAGGAGGATTCTGACCATGCTGCAGTGGCTCCACCTTCCTGATGGGGAAAGGTAAACTCTTCCTGTTTACTTTTGGTTTACACTGCCTGACTCACTGCAATGAAAAAATGTTCTGCTATGGTTGTGATTTATTCACCACTAGATGAGTTTCTATCCATGGATTTCATGATATTTGAGGAACAAGAAGTTTTATAAAATAAGATGAGATAAACCTTTATTCGTCTCACAGTGGAGAATTTTCAGTGTCAACGTTGCGCACATTACAGCAGAGAAAGAAGGAAATAAGAGCACTCAGATCGCACACATCAAATTGATTCTATTATTTAAGATAATAGACAATATAATTGAAATAAGATAAAGAATAAAATAAACTCTGGGGATATAATTGCACTTGATTCAGAAGTATTTACAGATGTGTATATTGCACTTTAGCAGCGGAGAATAAGCATCAGAATGGATTATGCAGTAATACTAATAACAGGTAAAGTTACTAGTGAATTATCAAAGACACTTGTACAGACTCAGCCGTTCTTGTTACACATTCTCGTTTTACCGTAATTGCCAGACTATAAGCTGCTACTTTTTATCGAGTTCTTTAGCCTCCGCAGCCTATGCAGACTCTGCAGCGATGCAGCCGATGGATGTAAATGTCATTGTACCTCTTGGGATGGAGGAAAGAAATCTACACAGATCTTTCAGCTGTTGTTTACGTTTATGTGGACAGCTCAAAGTGGGCAAACATGAGGGAATGGACGTAATACAAGTTTATTCTGTGATTAGGGCTGTTTTCAGGATTCATTCATGAATTCACTATAATTTGAGTAGTAGATAGGACGCAAAAATGTCAAACTATATTGGTAAACTTCTGTCTTCTGCAACTGGACACCTGAATTTCTCCAATGGGGATCAGTAAAGTACTGCATCTATCTCTCTATCTATCTATCAATTAAATGACATGGAACATAACAGCTCTACTCTGTTTGATTAAATGTTCCAATACAACATGAAAACCTGCAGTTTTTAATCAAATGAGGCAGTGGGGCAAGCCTCCCACTACTAAAGACAAGAGATCCCTGTAATCTTCATCATAGGTGTACCACAGCTGAGTGACAAAATGAGAAGAAAAAATTACAGAAAATCAAATGTCACATGTATTAATGACTCTTGTTTGAACTCGTTTTCTCTATATTTGAAATTCATGAATAAAGTGGTAAAAATATTCAGTAACTAGATGCTTCAATGACAATGTTTTTCAATGACACAGTATGTATGTTTTAGGCCTTATGTTTACGCCATGCACTCGGAGCAGCCGGACACATACGGGCACAAAATGGGACCACTGAGTGCAGAAGTGGGTGATGATAATGATTAATAATTACATGTTTATTACACTTGCATGACTTTGTTATGGTTTGGTTTCAGTTGAATAACCCTCTGAGAATGATCGACAGAATCGTGGGTCAGCTCATGGATGGACTGAAACAGATGAAGCTGCATCGCTGTGTCAACATCATCCTGGTGGGAGACCATGGTAAAGCTGCTTCTACTCACACCTTTTCTATCTGCATGACTTCGCATAAAACTGAAGAAGCAGTAAGCGATTTTGTTAGCTTAGCCGTAGCACCAAATCGAAACCACCCCCCCTCCCCTCGCCTCTCCACCAAACCAAACATCCAGCATTTTCTTTCTTTGTCACAACAGGGAGAGTGGGTGGCAAACGTGAAATTGGCATTTTCTGTTCAGCCCTTTTAGGTTTTAGAAAATCCGATAACTCAGGTGCGCGCACAAAATATTTAAAATTATTTTTTGAACACTACATGGAAACTGGTCAATTCCATTACTATTTGAAAACACATGATAACTTGACTACTTTTAGGGTTTAGGGACGTTTTCCACAATATATATAAAAAAATAAATAAAATGTGTCTGGAAAAAATCAATGACTGCATCTTTAAAGCTGTGGCTAACTTTGAAACCACAACAATGGAACTCTGTAATGAAAGCCAAAAATACCAGGTCTTAAAACTATCCAGTTCAATCATTAATTTTCACATGCTGTCACTTATTTAGATCAGCTTTTTTCAGACAGAAAAAAAAAAAAAAAAAAAGAGGGTCGGCCTCACTCAGCCAATCAGCTCTCAGCTCAAAGATTCACGAATGCAAAATAGTCTGATTAGTTCAAAAACTTTTACTTTCTGTTTTTCTAATTTCATGGATTTCTATGATAAAATAATAGATGGGTAAGCTTTACAAGAGGGTTTCATTTTTGTTTTTTGAGTGCTATTTTGGGGTAAACATACATAGACATAGATACATTTACTGTACGTTACACATGCAAGTACATTACAGACACAGAAAAATATGTTTGGGGAAGTGAGCCATCAGTGAGTAAATTGCTACTACTTTGAACTTTGCATTGAAGTTCCACCTTGTTGTTTCAAAGTGGGGTTTTGTGATCTAATTACGTAAGTACTTCTCGATATGTGTGTGTTTGTGTGTTTGTGTTCAGGAATGGAGGAAGCCCATTGTGAACGCACAGAGTTCCTCAGTAACTACATGCATCACGTGGATGACATCATTCTTATCCCTGGATCTTTGGGCCGGATACGCTCCAGACATCCCAACAATGTCAAATGTAAAGAACCCTCTTTTATCAATCAGCTGTGGACATATTGTCTGCGTTCTGTGATTGCAACATACAGTATCCTCTGCCTACAACCATGCTATTATATATTTATTTTATGGGATGAACTTTTTGACCATTACAGTTATTTCAACATACGAAAGATAAAATAAAAGTACAAACTTAGCTTGTACTGCTAATCTATCATCTATTTTATACAAACTGCCAAACCAAATTGTCCCCTGAGGATAATAAAGATACTTTGAACCTTGAAGACATTGCCTCAAACCCTGTATTCTTTTTCTACAGATGATCCAAAGGCTATTGTGTCAAATCTGACAGTAAGTCCAAAGCTAATGCCCTGCTCTACCTTTTCTACTTGACATTTGACTTTGAATGAGATGCATTTTCTTTTGCAGTGTAAGAAAGCAGAGCAGCACTTTAAGCCTTACTTAAAGCAGCACCTGCCTAAGAGACTGCACTACGCCAACAACCGGCGCATAGAAGACGTTCATCTGCTGGTGGACAGGAAGTGGCATGTGGCCAGGTACAGAACTCCCAAGTATGCATGTACAGTGCATATGTGGTATTGTGGACCCCAGGGCTGTGGCATTAGCAAGGAATGTTATGGACGGCCCACTGTTTGCTCGCTCGGCTAAGAAGAATGTGTCCATATGGGATTCTGGCTTTGTTCACTTTTGTGCATGAAAAAGACTATTTTGAGCCTTTGACCATCTTACACAGTGGTCCCTCTGCAAAAATAGCTTCATTCAGGCTAACTTTTTATACTTGATAAATTCTTGCCAGACTTCAAATCACATTCTTTGCAATACTTTATGCTTTTGTCGTTTACACATGCATGCAGCCATTCCCAAAGTCTTCAGAACAGAGAAGGATAATTATTGGTTTATTATTCTATTTCTCATTATGTAGGCAAGCTATGTGTCTGAAGTGGCTCTGAGAACCCCCATAGGTCCCCGGACCCCACACTGCGCATGATATGGAGTGAAATTCTTAATTACCTACCAGCAGATACCAATAGCCGATTCATTTGACTTTGATGGACAGGCTGTGTGGCTATCCAATGGAAAATGAACAAATTGAAAGATTTAATTGCAATCCAAGTGCCAAAAGTAAACCAAACAATGCATATCACCAATCCTTAATAAAGTTCAAATACTGCTATGCATCCATGGTTTTATTGGAAGCAAAACAGCCATGTCCAACCCACTTTGAAAATATGTATTAATTTACCAAAATCTGGTCAAAACATGGCGCTCACGTGATGTTGTGAAAGCCTGAGCCCTAAATCTTCCACAACACCTCGGCAGAAGTGTAAATGAGATGCTAACGTGTGCGCTGACAGCCCGTTTGATGTAGAGCAGTCAGAGGTCCTCCACGGTGATTCAGTGACAAAGTAAACCATGAAGTCACCTGGAGCCACAGTCAAAACAAACCTCCCTAAGCCACTCGCTGTTGTAGAGCTGTGGGAGAGAGCTACAATCACCAGCCTCCCGAGTTCACCCAAACCCAGGCCTCAAACTGAAAGGCATCTTTGAGGGTGCGTTTCTGATGGACAGACGGGATAATTGTTGGCACCAGAGCCGTGAGCGCTGTTACAGATTTGTTTCTGTATCTTGCTCTTACATTAGTCGAGTGGACAGTGAAATAAAACACGCTGCTAATTTACATTTTTCACATGCTTGCGGGTTGGCCCCCTGCACGTGCGTACTCTCATACAGTGCAGACAGAGGGGCACACATCCACAAGCATCAGTGGAAGTAGTGTTTGAATGGACACTTAATAAAAAGTGGCTGTTTCTCAATTAGTTTTCAGCGGCTGGAGGAGAGTGAGCGGGTTGTCCGGTAGCTACAGAGTAAACACAGACAGAGACACTTCACTTTATCTGCACTTAAGATGACCAACTGTCCACTACGACCAGTGATTTCAGAATTATGTAATCGAAAAACCACTTTCCTGTTTTTAGTCGACTGAATATTACGGAGATTGAACTCCAGGACCCCTCACCACTGGGAGATCCTAGTTTGTATCCATCTCCCTCCTGCAACTGTACGGTCTCGGCTCCTATCCTCCCAGTTTTAGCGTCCCTCCACTTTCTCGCTGTGCGTTTTATAATTGATATCAAGATTTTACTGATTACTTTTAAAACTCATTTAGGTCTGGTGCCCCCCCCCCACGGCCCAGATTCTTGGGCAGATCCACAGGTCGAGGCTCCGGTGAATGAGCTGGGAGCTCATTTAAAATCACTTCTTAAAACCCACTTTTATCGAACAGCTTTTAACTGCTAGTTTTCTCTTTAAACTTCACATTTTGTATTCTACTGTTCCACTTTGTCTTTCTTGTCGTCTGTCAGCTGACTGCATTTTTTATTCAACTGTTTAATTGACTGTTTTTGACTGTTTTATGCTGACTGTTCAGTGCTTTGTAAACACTGTTTCTAAAAGTGCTATACAAAAAAAATGTATTTTTATTATTATTATAAATATTATCTGCAAATTCTACTGTTACATCTTGTGGCCGTGTCTTTGCAGGAGGGCTCCGGAAATGAAGCGCCACTGTGGTTTCCATGGTGATCATGGTTATGATAATAAGATAAACAGTATGCAGGTACAGTGATGCTCTTCCATCTTTTAATTAAAGCTGGGGTACCCAACTTTCAAGCAGTAAATAAATTGAACTAATATAATCTATCAAAGTGCATTTCCCCCCAAACACTAGGTTTCACATTTCTGCTTTTTGTCACATGTTAGTTCAGTTTTTTCTGACTGAAAAGTGAAAAAAGAGGACCACCCTAGTTCCTGCCAATCATCTCAGCCCCAAGAGTCAAATAGTGACTCACAGGGCTCTTTCTTCCAAGTTCCACCATGTTGTCTTCTGAAAACAGCATGTTGTGTTCTGATGTTACTTCACAAGACTCTTTACATTAGGAATAACACAATGTAATATAATGTAATATCAGCTTTAACTGAATTAAAGGGGCACTGAGCAACTTTGGTCATGGAGCCTACTACTCTCTTTTCTTACTAATGAGTGGACTCGCCTCCGAAGATATGACCTGTAACTAAGCCTGCTGATCATGGTCTGAAAGGTGCCAGGCAAAACACACATGGCAGACCCCTGACCAGTAAAGTTGCAGTGTGTACCATTACCATTGTACCTAATCTTCAATGTTCTTGTATCTTCAGACCATTTTTATGGGATATGGACCCATGTTCAAATTCAGAACCAAAGTCCCAGTTTTTGAAAATATTGAACTTTACAACGTCATGTGTGGTAAGTGTAAACATCTTAAAATATTGTACTAAGACACTCAATAAGATAAGACACTTTTTCCAATCATTGTTGACATTTTTGAGCATTTATTAACATTTCTGGTCATTGGACATCCCGCTGCCTATGGACCAATGGTTCCTGTGTTATAGATACCCAGGTATTAGGTATTTCATAGCCTGGCCTTAGCCATCCGAACACTCAGTTCAATCATAATTTCACTGCATGTAACGTCTGGGTCTGGTCCCTGTGTTTGCGATTACAATCGGTTGAATTTCGACCGACCATTCAGCGAGCGCGAAAGGCAGGTGTTGTAGTTAGTTGTGGGTGACGTCAAGAGTTTGGTCGAACGGGAAGGTTGTGGTTTGGCAATGGCGAAAAATGCGATAGTAAAGTAATCCGGTCTGGTTCTGTCAAGAAATTGAAACCGGAGCAAGGGTAATGTTTAGCAAATGTAGTCGCTGGAAAAAATGGTGGCACTACTCCCCACAGGCTCCGTTAGCGGCAAAGGAGATGGCTAGGCTAAATGCTAAATGCTAACAACAGATTCGGGCGCATTACATACAGTGTTGCCAACTCCTCAGTAAGGAAAGTAGCTTAGTACGAAATGTAATTTGTTCTATGGTGTGGTACGACAAGGCTAGGTCCTGTGTTCCAACAGTTTGATTGTCTGATCTGTTGGGGAGGAAGCAACAGCTTTGTGAAGCCAGCTGAAAGGACTGTTGTTGTGGTTTTGGTCTACACACAAATACATTGAATTTAATTGGTTAAGTGATGTTATTTATTATGGAATAAATTTCCAGGTGGCCCTGGAATTTCTTGGGAAGAATGCCGGGAAGAACGGGCAGGTTTAGCATCAGAGAGGATAAAGAACCAAATCTAAACTATCACTGAACACTTCCAGCTGTCATTGATGTTAAAGGGGACACACACTATTGAAAACTGGGATTGAACTGGGAGAACTTAGAAAACAATATATGTCTTCATAAAACCACTGACTGAGGGATAAAAGTCATTATTTTATCATTTCAAATCTCTGAAATATGGTCAAAATAATAAACATGTCTGCCTATATTTTCATCTTTCTCCTTGTTCTCCTTCAGATCTCCTTGGACTAAAGCCTGCCCCAAACAATGGCACCCACGGGAGCCTGAACCACCTCTTGCGGAGCCCGTCGTTCAGACCCCTGGTGGCCGAGGAGGTGTCCAGGCCCACTCCCTCTGCTCTGGTTCTGGGCGGCTCTGACGACTTGGGCTGCAGCTGCGATGAAAAGGTCAGCCCTGAAGAGCTGGCGGCCGGGAAGCACCTGTCCCATACACATACACTAGTTTCTGCTAATGGTCACCAGGACATTATAGAGAAACTAAAGGTATCTGTGTGTCCCGGTTTATCTTCTATCAACTCTCAATAGGAGCCGTTAGTAGTAGTTTAACAAGTAGTTTAACAAGAGAATCATCTGAACAAAGTCTCTGTTTCTTTGATCATTTTTTGTTAAACTATTTCCTAACAATTGCATCCAGTTACTAACAATTGCATTGAGTTTTCCTATGTCTGTACTCCAAAAATAGTATAACCAATACATTCCAAATATATATATTTGGAATGATTTGCCATCTGTTTGTTATTATACTTGTATGAATGAAACTAATCCAATAGTGTAGCAATACTAACCTAATGTAGGCATAATATAGAGTCACTTTTACAACACATCACAATTAAAGGTATAGGAGGATTTTCCCAAATATTAGGAAAGAACTGCCCTCTCCGCTTTTTGAACCAAACTCTCTGGTCTTATTTGTCGAGCACATATCATCAGAATTATTTACAATTGGGCGACCAAATAGTCTTCATGATCCACCCGGATGTAGAAAATTCTCCTATATACCTTTAAGTTAAAGTTAATGTCAGTTACACTTGTGAATAGAGAGGAATATTTCAAGTTAGACCCTCATGCTCACCCTCATCAGAGCTTTCTGATTGGATGAAATTAGTTAAAAACCCAGTGGTCAAAGTATTCCTCTGCAGCAAATGTCTATCTGGTCCTGGTTTTGCCAAGAGGAAGGGCTGTTTGAAATATAAATATAAAAGTACAGAAGGTAAAAAATATGCCTTATTTTGAAGATAATTTACCATTGAACTTACTGACATCATCTTTAAGTAATTTGGTTTAAAAATAGTGCATGATCATGAAGTATTAGTTCATCACAAGATCCCACATGTCTTAAATGTATATATTGTGAAGTGCAGGGGTCTGTGTGTACTGTGTGTAGTAGTTAGACCAGAACAGAGCTTATAGCAATAGTTCTCTGTCAACATCCTCCATTTTTATTTTATATGATTCACTTTGGCGAGATGTTGAAACCGTTGTGTCAGCATATCCTCTCACAGCTCTTGTAAAATCCATGAATCCATTTGGCCTTGGCCTCAGCACAGCGCCCTCTACAGTAATTACAGTCGAATGGATTTATTTGACACCTGTCGGGGCCCCTTAGGAACAGTCCTCCCCTGAACAAAGACTCGGCCGTAAAGCTGAGCTGCTTCTGGAGCGGGGCCAGTCCTGCACACTGCTGCTCTGTGCAACATGTGCTTCTGCTTTCAGCCTCAGGACTCTCCATCTCGGCTCACGAGGGGGCAGCGCTGTAGTCAGCATCAGCTTTAGTTTGACTTTGGACTTGATTTACTTTCCCAAAGCTAAAACAATACAGATGACTTCAGTTTGAACAGATAGGGTTGATTTTAAACAGTAATTCCGAAATGCATGGTCTGACTCACTCACTCACACACAGACAAGTGTTTGTGAATGAGACGTTGAATTTGATGTTATTTTATTATCACACGTGAGGGTTTTATTGCATAGGTCTTTTTATCATTGCAAATAAAATGAAGAGAATAGAGAGATGTTGAGTGAACTGACACTAATTTGTGATTTAGTTAGATTTAACATTAGGTATTTCTTGCACACTTCACACAAAAACTTCAACTTTTTCTCTACTTGTTTCTGGAGTCTATTCACCTTTTGTATCATTCTATCAATCAGTTTACACCTGTTGTGATACTGTATGTAAACTTGTGCCAGCCCTTATTACAGTATTACTGTACTGTGTATTTTGAAGGCCACAAAAAGTGAATAGAGCTCATCTTTGCTGTGTCATGTTTTATTCATGAAGTTCTTTGAATGTATTTCTGATCCACATGTCTGGCAAGAGATTGTTTCAATCTCCAATCTCTTTGCAGTTGCGTGTAAAAAGTAGAGGCCAGAGAGGCTTGAAAGTGACCCTTGTGCGAGGCTATAACCTGGAGTCACTCTGGCTCTGTCTCTTACAGAACAAAGTGGAGGAGTTAAACCAACGTCTGCGGCAAGCTATGGACGGTCAGTCTGCTCTGATACATGTGAACTTACCGTTCCAAAGTCATTAACCCTTCAATGGTTTCCTTGGCCATTTGGTGTGTCACTTATTGAGTCAATACTACCCTCATTGGGGCGTCTCTATCACTTGGTTTTAGGCACTTTTACCAGCTGCATAACAACCATTTGGTAAAGGCGTATACTTAAAAAACTATGAGGTCCAACATAACATAAGATTAAGGATTTGTGTTATTAGTGTCCTGCATCTTAGAAAATAAATAACAATGAAAAATTGCATTGATTTCTTCAAGGAGTGAGCATTAAAGGGTTAAGTCATACAATCTTCCTGTTTAACTGTCACTGAGCGTTACATATTGACATCAAACCAATTTCTTTCACAATCTTACTACAACATCCTTTCTGTGTTTGGTTTGAAGACAGCAGAAACCTTCCCTACGGTCGCCCTGCAGTTCTGTTTCGGACCAAGTACTCCATCCTCCACCACAGCGACTACATCAGCGGATACAGCGAGTTCTTGTCTATGCCTCTGTGGACTTCATACACCGTGAACAAACAGGTGTGTTCTTAATCAAAGTTTAGAGTCACTAATGGATTTGTCTGTCAAACTCTTTCATAGTGATGTAATGCCATCTGCTGGCAGCTTTGTTAATACACTTTATAGTCTGTATTGTTTCGAGACTGGGCAATATGCCACAATGTGTTCATGATATAGACCCATAATAGCAATAATCATTATGATATCCCGGTGATTGATGCACTTTTTAATATTTTGTTTTTTATTTAAGTACAACCAAAATCAAGACACACACACAACAGAAATATAAGCATAGCAAAAAACATAAAGCAAGGGTATAAAACTACAAGAAAAAAACTGAACAAAACAAAGAATTTTTCAAATACACACGCAAAAAAACCAAAAACAAAATCTCTACTAATCAAAATTTTGTTTTCCTTGCTAAGGCACCAACATTTTTACCCTATAAATTGTAATTCAATTCAATTCAATTCAAATTATTCTTGTCTAGCCCTAAATCACAACAGTAGTCATCTCAGAGAATTTAAAAACACAACAAAAACAGAACACATACTGTAGGTACTGGTCCATAGGGGAAGTCGACCAATGTCTATGAATGTTGATAAATGTCCATACATATTGTAGAATGTTGGAGTGTCCTGGATCATCACCACAGTCCTTCAACATAATTAATACAGTTTTCAGTATTTTAAGATCTTTCATTACAAGACTTAAATATGAAATGTTTCCCTATGAGAAAAAAATGTCTTTTTCTCTGATTGATGCACATTTAAAGTGACTTCTTCTCCTCTCTCTCAGGTGGAGTTGTATCCGCTCCCAGATGCTTTATCGAACTGTGTGCGTCCCGACACCAGGGTCCCTCCGGCCTACAGTCAGTCCTGCACCAACTACAGAGCGGACAAGCAGATCACATATGCCTTTGTTTACCCGCCTCGTAAGTCCTTAGAAGGCTGTGATGTCACACGTCATCACGGTTTGGATAAATGTAATGTATTATTTGCTTCTCAGAATTATCTTTACAAATGGAGAAAAAGTACGATGCGGTCCTCATCACCAACACTGTCCCGATGTATCCTGCATTTAAACGTAAGTCATTCAAAGCACTTTTAAGATTACAATTTAGGGCGGTCAAAAGTATCAAATCGGATATTTAAAAACTTACAAGAACAGGACAAAAATTAGATTCTTGAACTGTTTTGGAATGCTTTTGCTTTATCTTAGAACTAGCATAAAACTTTGTGGTACCATTAAATAATAAAAATTATTGTATTATATTGCATTGTTTTATTATTATTTCTGAAACACATTACAAGAGTGATGCAATTGCTGCAACTCCCACACTTCCCCCGTCACCCTCGGCGTCCCCCAGGGTTCCCTGCTCGGCCCTCTCCTCTTCACCATCTACATGCACACACTCAACTCTACATCTCCATCAAATCCATCACCCCGGTCATCCTCTCCACCGTCACATATTTGCATCTCCGACATTAAAACCTGGCTGGACAATAACTTTCTTAAACTCAACAGCAATAAAACAGAACACATCTTTGGCCCCAAATCTCTCTTGCCCTCTATCCAGAACTGACGGTCACCCTCTGTACGCAACATCAGCATCATAATGGACTACACCCTCTCATACCAAACACACATCACCAACATATTCCACTTCTTTAAGTGTCCAAAAAGCTCTATACAAGTTTGACGTATTATCATTTTTTTATCATTATATTAGAACTAGTATAAAACCTTGGGGTACTGTTAAATTATAGAGATTACTATAATGTTAAATATTGCAGCTCATTGTCCATTGATTTTATTATTATTTCTGTTGAATATCTGAGCTTCTGTTTAAACACATTCAAGACAATAAATTCACAGTGTATATTACAAGAGTTATGCAATTATTGACGCAATAAAGCAATGCGCTCAAAACTAGTGGAGGGAAGTTTAACAATAACTGTGTTCCAGATCTTAAATAAAGTCTATTTCTTTTTATTTATAACAAATGAATGCATTGTTGTGAGGCCTTGGGGATATGATGTGGTGTTGGTTCTTCTCACAGGGATATGGAGTTACTTCCAACGAGCTTTAGTGAGAAAATTTGCCACTCAGAGAAACGGCGTCAACGTTCTCATCGGTCCAATATTTGACTATGACTTTGATGGCGTCAGGGACTCAACGGAAAGAATCAAAGAGTAAGAACTGTTTTCAAAGAACACAACGTTGAAATGAGAAAGTACATAATTAGAGATGTTTTATGCTTTCCGATTCAGGTTTATGACTGGAACTATCCCGGTGCCAACACATTACTTCATTGTGTTGAGCAGCTGCCTGGACTTCACGCAGCCGGCGGACTCCTGCACCGGTCCACTGAGCAGCGCCGCCTTCGTCCTGCCGCACAGGCCCAACAACGACGAGACCTGCAACGTGAGTCCCATCCAAAGTTCAAATCATTCGCTCTGGAGTTTGTATTTGAGACACAGATGTTATATGTCTGTGGTTGAGAAATACGTTTAAGTTTTATTATATATTTTTTGTGATCTAATGTTTATTGGATTGTACTTTTTTCATATTATATATTTTATGTTCAAGTACAATAGCTTTTTTTTCTTTCTTTTTTTTACATTTCCCCTTTCGCCGCATCAGCACCCCCATCTCCCTTTGGGTTTCCCCTCCAACATACACATACAGTACACACACACACACACACACACACACACACACACACACACACACACACACACACACACACACACATATACCTCGCACTTTCAAGGCAGGCATTGGCTATTCAATGGATAAACACATAAAGGGAGTTACAGTTCTATACATTATTTTGTCATTTCTGAGATAATATGAAAATAATAACGGCAACAAAAAATGAGAATTTGCACACGTGTAAATCTATATACGCAAACACACACATACAAATTAAGACATATTATACACACACGAAACACACATTGTTTTACACCCATTAAAGTGATAAATATTTATTTTAATTTTAACAATATTATGTTTTACTATTGAGTACGTAGACACCGAGGGCTGGGTATTGTTTAGATTTTGCTGATATGATTTGTACAAATGTTAATTAGATCCAATGTACTTCGATTCAGTCCAATTCAGTCAAGTACAGTGTATGAAGTATTTGGTGCTCTGTGCCATTCTAACAACAATACGACAATCTTATTTTGGCACATTTATCTTTCATTTATTGAATATTAATGGGTAAAAAAATTGGCTTCTGTTCACAATATGTGGAACTCATAACTAGTACAAAATACCTTGCGAAAGTATTCGGCCCCCTTGAACCTTTCAACATTTCGCCACATTTCAGGCTTCAAACATAAAGATATAAAAATAACATTTTTTGTCAAGAATCAACAACAAGTGGGACACAATCGTGAAGTGGAACAAAATGTATTGGATAATTTAAACTTTTTTAACAAATAAAAAACTGAAAAGTGGGGCGTGCAATATTATTCGGCCCCCTTGCACTAATACTTTGTAGCACCACCTTTTGCTGCAATTACAGCTGCAAGTCGCTTGGGGTATGTCTATATCAGTTTTGCACATCGAGAGACTGGAATTCTTGCCCATTCTTCCTTGCAAAAAAGCTCGAGCTCAGTGAGGTGGGATGGAGAGCGTTTGTGAACAGCAGTCTTCAGCTCTTTCCACAGATTCTCGATTGGATTCAGGTCTGGACTTTGACTTGGCCATTCTAACACCTGGATACGTCTATTTGTGAACCATTCTATTGTAGATTTGGCTTTATGTTTTGGATCATTGCCCTGTTGGAAGATAAATCTCCGTCCCAATCTCAGGTCTTTTGCAGACTCCAACAGGTTTTCTTTCAGATTGGTCCTGTATTTGGCGCCATCCATCTTACCATCAATTTTAGCCATCTTCCCTGTCCCTGCTGAAGAAAAGCAGGCCCAAACCATGATGCTGCCACCACCATGTTTGACAGTGGGGATGGTGTGTTCAGGGTGATGAGCTGTGTTGCTTTTACGCCAAACATATCGTTTTGCATTGTGGCCAAAAAGTTCGATTTTGGTTTCATCTGACCAGAGCACCTTCTTCCACATGTTTGGTGTGTCTCCCAGGTGGCTTGTGGCAAACTTTAAACAAGGCTTTTTATGGATATCTTTGAGAAATGGCTTTCTTCTTGCCACTCTTCCATAAAGGCCAGATTTGTGCAGTGCACGACTGATTGTTGTCCTATGGACAGACTCTCCCACCTCAGCTGTAGTTATCTGCAGTTCATCCAGAGTGATCATGGGCCTCTTGGTTGCATCTCTGATCAGTCTTCTCCTTGTTTGAGATGAAAGTTTGGAGGGACGGCCGGGTCTTGGTAGATTTGCAGTGGTCTGATACTCCTTCCATTTCAATATAATTGCTTGCACAGTGCTCTTTGTGATGTTTAAAGGTTGGGAAATCTTTTTGTATCCAAATCCAGCTTTAAACTTCTCCACAACAGTATCTCGGACCTGCCTGGTGTGTTCCTTTGTCTTCATGGTTCTCTCTGCGCTTTAAACAGAACCCTGAGACTATCAAAGAGCATGTGCATTTATACGGAAACTTGTTTACACACAGGTGCATTCTATTTATCATCATCAGTCATTTAGGACAACATTGGATCATTCAAAGATCCTCACTGAACTTCTGGAGTGAGTTTGCTGCACTGAAAGTAAGGGGGCCGAATAATATTGCACGCCCCACTTTTAAGTTTTTTTATTTGTTAAAAAAGTTTAAATTATCCGATAAATTTTGTTCCACTTCACGATTGTGTCCCACTTGTTGTTGATTCATGACAAAAAATTAAAATTGTATATCTTTATGTTTGAAGCCTGAAATGTGGCGACATGTTGAAAGGTTCAAGGGGGCCGAATACTTTCGCAAGGCACTGTATCTGTCTATCTCCATCTACCTAGACACACATACACATAATGAACTAAATATTCTTCTGCAGTGATACTGATACTGTAGCCTGGTCTTACCATACCATCATAATATTTTCATTTTGTACATGTAGGGAAATGATAACTGACTGGAGTTTCAGAATCTGAATCCTTTTTATTGCCATGTAAGCAACAGGAAGTCACAGACAAGAAATTGCTTTGGCTTTCGGTGCAAACTAGTCAAAAGTAGAGAAGTAGAGAATTGAGTAAGGCATAGTAAGAATCAACATTTTTACAGATGGCTAAGGCAACTGATAGTGCTGAAAATATCTATTTGAATATGGATCTTAGTTCAATCCCAGCTCAAATCAACTCATTCTGTAATGGTTTTAATGGCTTTCCATGTTCCATCACAGGTTAGAAATAAAATATCTAAAACATATACCACAACTTACACAAAATTCTTTCTCGATTGAATGCTGCCCTTCAGAGCTCGGAGGAGGAGTCCCGCTGGGTGGAGGAGCTGATGAAGATGCACACGGCTCGGGTCCGGGACGTGGAGCTGCTGACCGGTCTGGACCTGTACCGACGAACCAACCGGCCCTACACCGAGGTCCTGTCCCTCAAGACGTACATGCACACGTACGAGAGCGAGATCTGAACAGGCCAATTTGGATTTCTTCACCGTGGTGGATTTACTATGTGGTACTAAGGAGGTGGTTTCCTCTCCAATACACTGACTTTTACTGCTTTTTTATTTTTATTTTTTGGGCCAACTGGGAACTTGAAATGTCCTGTTTTCAATTGTGTTTTTTCCGGATTTTTTTCTTGGCTGCAACTTTAAAGACCACTATTCTATATAAGAACTCCCACTTTACTTTGTGCTGTCCATAAGAAAAGGTTGCATTCATTTTAAAGAGCGACTAAACACCTGTGCCCAGCCTTACTCCGCCCACATGAAGATTTTAAATTTTTCTCTAAAAAGGGCGTTGCCTGGAGGACTAAGGGACAAGAAGGGGGGCTTAGAGTTGGGCGTGGTCTGGGCTGTGATTGACAGCTCACACCTGAACCTAATCACACTCAATAATCTCAGAATGACTCATGTAATTTAATTTTAATCCACTAGATGGCGCCAGAATACTCCAAACTGCAGCTGGGGCGTGAGTGAGAGTTGAATGGGTTCACATCACTGGCTCTGACAGACTGACGTCACACAAAACAACTGATGTCATAGAGAACTTCAGAGTCAATGGAGAGGCCAGAACCAAATTCAAATGTAGTACCACCAAAAAGGTTGAGAGGGCACCACACAGCGTTTTTTGGCTCAAAAGTGATATTTTATCTAATTTGAACTAAAATGTCAAAAAAATGACCAGGATATGTAGACAGCACTACAATAAACATATTTATGCAGTTTATGAGTTAAAAAAAGTTGATTTGGTGTTTAGTCGCTCTTTAAGGTTTTCACTATATGGGTGCAAAAAAAGGCAAGTTTAATTGTATAGCACTGGTCATACACAAGACAACTCAAAATGCTTAGGTATGAACTATGTAAGGGTTACGTAAGCCGAACCGGTAAAAGACAAAAGTTAATTTGCAAAAACAGATATCTTGGTTTTGAAAATGTGTCAAAATATGTTATTCCTCAACTCAGGGGTCCCCAAACTATTTAGTAAGAGGGCCATTTTAATTGGTCAGAGCAGTATAGGGGCTAACAACATGTAAAACTGTTTTTGACAATATTCCGGCAGTTGTTAGGCTGAGGTAGGACATAACCATAATTTGACTGAGCTGAAGTTGGATGAATGACACATGTTTTCCATCTGACCAGCTACATTAGTGCTATCTACATACATTTGTGACTCAAACATTAATGTCAGTAAATTATTTTTATTTTACTTTTTTCCAACATTTAGACCCAACACATCATTAGAAATACATTATATAAATCAATATATTTATTAACTTTGTATTTGGTTCAGTTTTGGTTACAGCCAAATAATAAACACATTTCATGACAAATAAAAGTAATGTTGAAATTCCTTCACAATGGAAAAATGAAAAACAGTTATTATTTATTCTTTTGGCAGTGTCCGTATATTCATATAAAGTTCTAGACGTTCTGAGCTTCACAACAAATTGGCGGAGCTGAAGTTGAAAAACTTTATTTTGTTTGAACGGCACTAAAATAGATATGTCTTTTCAAAAAACAACTTTGTTAAAAAGCAAATTGTAAGCTTTTCACATATATGTTTCTGATGGCACTTATCTGTTTTTGAAAATGAACTAATTCTCAAACTAAACCAAGTCTTAAACTGGCTAGAACCAGGACAGAACACGTGCGAACAAAACCTTTCTCCATGTTTTATTTTTCTCCACAACAGTTGAGCCTCTTTCTGCACATAAGAATGAAAATGCTTTTATCAACGTAAAAATATGGATATAGACAATAAACTTGTAGCTATTTTTTTCTTATTGTATGTAATGGAATGGGCTGTACTGTAAATATTTGAGATACTTCTAATTGTGACAAAAATATTCAATATGTGAACGTATTCAAGCTAAAGTATTTTAGTCGATGTCTGCCGATCATTGTGGCTTACCTACAGGATAATGACAATTTAAATTGCACTAAAAGGTAATATAACACACATTTTACCAAGTTTGTCTTTCTGTTTCCCACTACCAGTGAGTCGGTGTGTTTATTGTGGAAGTAAGATTGTGTAGCATAGAAGAAAAATTCAATGTGTGTTTCAGAATGAGTGAATTGATGGATTTTTGTAATTATATGTTTTTTATGTTTTGTGCACCTGAGCAATGATAAAGAATTATTAATGTTTTATACCACCTGTATGATGTTATTTATGTTTGTGTACATGCCATTACAATAAAGACAGGTTTTCTTAACGATTTGTTTTGATTGAGTTTCAGATTGCGAAATTAGCATGCACTTTAAATTGAAATGTTATTTTTAAAGAATAAGAGCATTTCCCATGTTGCATGAAACTTGCAGGAAGCTGTACTTCCAGTGAACTTTTGCAGTATTTATAGAACACTTTACAGTACAGAAAGTGACCAAGGTGCATGAAACAAGACCTACAGTATTTTTGGATACATTCAAGAACGAATGAAAAAAACATGTAAAAAAACCTGTAGCCACTATGATATTCTTGGCAATTCAAGTTACATTGTAGAGCACAGTTTATACACAAGGCAACTAAAGTCCTGAATAAATGAATTAAAGAAAATTCAGGTGTCCAGTAGCAGCAAAATATATATATATATATTATATATTATAAATAAAATTATCATTCTAAAAAGTAAAAATAGTAATAATCAGCAACAGCCCTTCAAATCAACCAGGCATTGACATTAAAAATAATCACCGTACAGTAAAACAAACAGTGAAGCATTGTATAATATTTCAGTTGTATCCACAGCTAAACTTTTTAAACTGGCAAAGTACAAGCCTGTCTCAAATTTTCAGGAAGACTTCCAGATTTTAGCTGCACAAATCTGTTTACTCCTAACTCTGGGCATCAGCAGGAGTTCAGTCCCTCAGTCAGAGTTGGTTCATATGGCACTAACACGTCACGGATATCTGGGGCCTTTAAAAGAAACATGAAGTACACAAAAAAACAAGTCCTGTCTCCCTCAGAATAGTTCATCAAATCAAACGAGATAGACTCGATGTGACAACGTTTATTGCAGCTCCTGTTACGTTCTGATGCAATAATGAACCTACCCTTCCAGTGTGATCTGTGCGCGAGAAGTGACGTCATGAGGCTGTTTTACTTTCACTTCCTCCAACAGAACTGCGCCTCGGCTTCATGTGCGTGAACGGGGCTAAAGTGCGTGTCCGTGTTTTGTTTGTGAGCATGTGTGTATGTGCGTGTGGGTCTGTGTGTGCGTGTACTTGTGTGTGTGTGAGATAGTACAGGTCAGTATATCTGTCAGTGTCAAAGAGGGATAAGTGCGACTATAAAAAAACATAAACACAGCTGGAACTACACCCTTTGGACTTAAGGCGCTGCGACAATGGTAAGAATAACTTTGTTTGTACTCGACATTAGGTGCAAAAGTATTTATCTGAAGTGTGTGTGATTTTTACAGCTCACCAATCTCTGACTGTGTGTGTGTGTGTGTATTTAGCTCTGCATACAACTGAAAGATTGTATCTTCACTCTTTTCAATATACTGTGATTATCTATTATTTTAATGCTTTGAATGATTTTAATGGGTTAGTTGGTATGTTAATGAGTTCAGGCACTGCTCTCACAATTTGGTCTTACCCATTTTTTCCATTTTTCACTGGGTTCTGGAGAATCACTGGTTTTCAATCTGTAGCTCAGGAGCTGCAGAGGCTCTCCACCCCCTTCCAGGTAGCTCACCAAAGGATGTAGAACTGAACAAATCAAATAATACACTTAATATTTCAGATTGCTTTATTAATGATCATGATTTATTATTGTAAATTCACTTACTTTGCTTTGTCACTAGTAACAAATATACTATGATAAATAATGACTACCCAATATCAGTCTTTATGGTCCCGGGAAAGTAGCTCTCTGGTTAAAAAAGGTTGGAGACACCTGCTGTAGACTCTTCTGTCTCATACAGTAACTGGATAGAAGCCAGGAATCATTCTGGCATTGGTAACCACAACATGTATTAACGGTTTCCAGCTTTTCCCAGCAAATTTATTAATGGAAAACACTTATCACTATGCCTAATCACTATGCTATCTTTGTGTTTTCTGCTAAAGTATGAAATATTGTGTTTATCAGTGCTCAACAACAACAACAACAACATGTCAAAATTATGTCTTTTATTGTTGTCAGATATGACTTAGTGCTGTCATGGGGAAGGCTGGAGAGGATAAACCATCTTGCCGCAGCCTGCTGACCTTCCATCGGGAGGCGCTGGTCTCCAAACTCAGGAGCATCCAGTGTGTCCTGGACAATCTGCTGAGCGCCGAGCTCCTCTGCGAAGAAGAGGTGGAGGCTGTGCAGCGCACCGACACCAAACCCAACCAGGTACAAAGCTCGAACCCTAAACCACTGACATATTCTGCACATGGGTCGATACCAGTGCCAAGTGTGGGTGTGTGCACAAACTGGTTTAAAACAACTGTCATCAAAGACTTGTGTACTCATGCTTCTGTTTCATTAGTTTGAACTACTGTATGTATTTGTACACTTATGAACAAATACATACAGTAGTAGTATGTAATACATCTGAACCAGAATCATCTTCTTCATAATATGTGTTGATTATGATTCATAAGTTCATCAGATTTTGTCTTAAAACTGCCTTTACCAAAGTCTTCAGGAGCTGGTGTCACTCACCATCAAATGATCCTTGTCCTCCAAACATAATTCACACTGAAATACATGCAAGTGATTATTACAGTTGTAAAAGCATTATTTATGTAATAACCACATTTGTGTAGATTGTGTTTAAATATGAGTTGCTTGTTGTGTAGACACTGCTCAGGTGTCTCTGAGGCCTCTCTACGTACTTCTTTTATTACAATGATTACATTATTTTATATTATATCTGCTTTTTTAACACAAAGATCATTTTATTTTTTAACAAAATGTGTAAATTTTTTCTTCCAGAATCATGAAACTACTAGAAGAGCAGCCGCCATTCAAATCGATTGAATTCTGATAATGTCCAAATAGTGTGTTTTCCATCAGTTCTATTCAAATTCACAAATGTCCATCCATCCATCCATTTTCTTCCCCTTAATCCATTTCTGGGTCGGGGGGGTGGCAGTCAGAGCTGCACCCAGTCACAGAGCACCAGCCCCTCACTGATCCTCCTGCAGGTGGTGAGTCCACAGGAGCTGAGATCTTTCAGTGGGAGCTTCAGGCAAAGTGGGGTTAAGTGTCTTGCCCAAGGACACAACGACAGCCGTCATCAGTGGGAGTCGTGAAGTAGGTCTTATGGTGGGCTTGAACCCACAACCTTCAGGCCCAAAGGCCAATGCTCTACCAACTGAGCTACTGTCGCCCCAACAAAAATTCACAAATGTATACATGTTTAACCTTTACTTTATATCAATAAGTTGTAAAACTGAATTACAGCTAAAAGCAGTTTGTTGAAAACAGCTGATAACTTGGTGACTAGCACTCTGCTGGAAAATCCAGGTAGTCTGGGAGTTAAAGGGAGAACAACTTACTTTTCTAAAATTAAAGATAATATCATAAACAAATAATGACAAAGAAATGAACTACAAAAAATCACTAATTTAGGAAGACCACAAATATACATAAGCAGAGTCATTACACTTTCAGAACTAAAGGCCGTCAAATTGACTGCTCTGGGAGTTCTAGTGTTAATTGCTGTGTTGTGTGCAGGTGCGTAAACTGCTGGAGCTGGTGCAGTGCAAAGGCGAGCCGGCCTGTGAATACTTCATCTACATTCTCTATTCTGTTGGAGACGCCTTCATCCACCTGCAGCCGTGGCTCAAAGAAATCTGCTATGTCCCCAGTGCAGAGGTGTCTGCTCTCCCAGTGGACAACACAGACCCCAGTAAGAACCAGTAATGTTCATAACCAAACAGTTTTTAACTAATGAATGATACGGCAGTGGGCTGCACGGTGGATAGCACTCTCCCTTCTCAGCAAGAAGGTCCTGGGTTTGAATCCCAATCAGAACAGGGTCTTTCTGAGTGGAGTTTGCAGGTTCCGGTCGTCCTGACCAAGCCGAGCATTAACATCCGGAGATGGGTTCCCGGGCGACCACTACTCTGCTCCGATAGTTACTCATTTAGTGGTTCACAATCTTACGTTTGAATGGGAGACGTCATAAATGACGTAGCTTCAGAAACCTGGGAGTTGTTGTGTTTTAAATTCCCTTAGATTTTAATACAGTTTGTTATGCCTTTAATAATGTATTGTTTTTGCCCTCTTCCAGTCAGCAGATACAGTGACAAGCAGCGGCGCGAGATCTCCCGGGACACCAGCTTCATCATGTCGTACGGACAGCGGGAGGAAACTCGCCTGGAGCATCTGTACACGGACACACTAATGGAACTATTCAATGAAGCCAACGAGAGCTTGGGATTCCTCGACACCTTAGACCGACTTCTCACCGACGACGCAGTCTTCAACCCACAAGGAGAAACCATCTATGTAGTCGGTGACGCAGGTGTGGGAAAATCGATTCTTCTCCAAAAGTTGCAAAACTTGTGGTCCAAGAAGCAGCTCGTCACAGACACCATTTTCTTGTTTAAGTTTCGCTGTAGGATGTTCAGCACTTTTAAAGACTCCGAACAAATCTCACTTCGAGACCTGCTGTTCAAATACAACTGTTGCCCAGATCTGGACCCTGACAATGAGGTCTTTGACTACATCACAAACTTCCCTCACAAAGTCCTCTTCACTTTTGATGGTTATGACGAAATCCAAGACGATCTCGAGAGGTACAACATTCCTGAGGTGTTCTCCCCAGATGAGAAAGCCCACCCTTTTCAGCTACTCACAAGCTTACTCTCTGGCAAGCTGCTTCAAGGGTCTCAGAAAGTACTTACAGCCCGGACTGGAATTGAATTGCAACACAAGGTAGTGAAAAAGAAAATTATTTTGCGTGGATTCTCGCCGTCTCACCTCAACAGCTACATTCACTTACATTTTAAGGACCAAGACCAGAGAGAGCGTGTTCAAATCCAGTTAGACGCGAGTCCACATCTATGCGGCCTTTGCTCCACCCCTCTATTTTGCTGGATAGTCTTCAAAAGCTTCACGCATCTACACATCATGCACGATAGTTTCGAGCTGCCGGAATCTCGCATAACACTGACAGACATATTTCTACTCCTGTGCGAGATGTTTTTGACTCGTTCGGCCCCGCTTCCATCGTCCATTCAAAAGAAAAAAGTCCGTTGCACATCGGAAACATTCAAATCCGGGTTTAAACCACTAGCTGGATTTGCTAAACTTGCTCTACGAGGATTTCATGAAGGCAGTTTCTATTTCAGCCGAGAGGATTTAAGGTCGTGTGGCTTAACAGAGGAAGACGAAGCTCTAGGATTTCTTCGATCCGTTAACGAATACGAAACCGCGGAAAACCCAGCAACTTTTGAGTTCCTCCACTTGACATTGCAATCTTTTCTGGCTGCGCTTTGGCTAGTTTTGGATGAGGAAGCCCCCCTAAACTTCATTCTAACGTTTTTTGCTGAGTGCAGCCGGAAGAAAAGATCGTCATGCCTCCCTTGCGACTTTTTTCATAATCTCTCAGCCACGTCAAGAGGAACCAGCTCCAGGCAGAAAAACGACCATCTGCAATTCACCAATCTATTTCTGTGCGGCTTGCTGTCCAAACCGAAAACTCGCCTAATGGAGCAACTGGTAGCGCCAACAACGTTAAAGAAAAAGCAAGCTCTTCTCAAATCTTACCTGTCCACGAGCGTGAAGTCACATCTGCACGGATTGCCTGTTCACAAAAATGACGAAGGCAAGAAAGTCCATGTTTTGCCCAATTTCTTATGGATGTTGAGGTGCATTTATGAGACTGGGAATAAAGGCATTGCCAAAATGACAGCCAAAGGAATCACGGCTGGGTTTATCAAGCTGGGATACTGCAATGTATATTCAGGAGACTGCACAGCTTTGAACTTTGTGCTTCAACATCGACGGAAGCTTCTTGGTCTCGATATGGACAACAACAATGTTAGCGACTATGGAATAAAGCAGCTCAGGCCGTCGCTGTCCAAGATGACGATAGTTAGGTAAGAATAGGATTAACAATTGACATGTGTTTGCTTTTGACTAATACGTCCTTTTGGTTAGATTTTGCGTCAATAATCTATCGGATAGCAGCATGGAGGTTCTTGCAGAGGAGCTGTGCAAATCCAAAGTTGTCGAAGTTTTGGGGTAAGTGTTTTTTGAAAATAGCAATGAAACTGCAGCTCAATCAAGTGCTATAGATAGATAGATAGATAGATCGATAGATAGATAGATAGATACTTTATTCATCACCATAGGAGAAATTCATAAAAAATAAAAAATACAATTGATCATTCTAAAAAGTTAAAAATAGTAATAATCAGCAACAGCCTTTCAGGTCACAGAAGAAGAGGTGGTAGCCTCTGGGTGGAGCTGGATGGGTCACAGGAGCAGAGTTGGTGTAGCCTCTGGGGTGGAGCAGGACGGGTCACAGGAGCAGAGATGGAGTAGCCACTGGGTGGAGCAGGACGGGTCACAGGAGCAGAGATGGAGTAGCCACTGGGTGGAGCAGGACGGTCACAGGAGCAGAGATGGAGTAGCCACTGGGTGGAGCAGGACGGTCACAGGAGCAGAGATGGAGTAGCCACTGGGTGGAGCAGGACGGGTCACAGGAGCAGAGATGGAGTAGCCACTGGGTGGAGCAGGACGGTCACAGGAGCAGAGATGGAGTAGCCACTGGGTGGAGCAGGACGGGTCACAGGAGCAGAGATGGAGTAGCCACTGGGTGGAGCAGGACGGGTCACAGGAGCAGAGATGGAGTAGCCACTGGGTGGAGCAGGACGGTCACAGGAGCAGAGATGGAGTAGCCACTGAGTGGAGCAGGACGGGTCACAGGAGCAGAGATGGAGTAGCCACTGGGTGGAGCAGGACGGGTCACAGGAGCAGAGATGGAGTAGCCACTGGGTGGAGCAGGACAGGTCACAGCAGCAGCGGTGGAGTAGCCTCTGGGTGGAGCAGGATGGGTCGCAGCAGCAGAGGTGGAGAAACCGCTGGGTGGAGCAGGACAGGTCACAAGGTGGAGTAGCCTATAGTAGTTGTTTAGAACTTATTTTGTCCTTTTAGTAGGTTGTTTTTAGTTTATTCTATACCAGACAAATGTAAGGCAGTAACAACCTCGCTATGGTACATTTTCCTGGTATAGAAGAACCATATAACTTTTTTTTTTTTATCAGGCTTTACAACAACTTTATAACAGATGCAGGAGCAAAACTGGTGGCAAAAATAATTGAGGAATGTCCCAAGCTGCGAACTGTAAAGTAAGTGGAAAATAATTCTAAGGTTTCTCTTTCACGATGTGCACAAAACATGGACAAAAGAAAGCTATTCTTCCTTTTGTCTTAGAATTGGCAAAAACAAGATCACACCAGTGGGAGGCAGATATTTGGCCAACGCAATCCAGAAAAGTACATCTATTTTTGATGTAGGGTAAGTTTTCAAGATTTGTAATAACACGTTTCGACTACTGTACTCTAAAATCTATGACTTTTACTACAGAGAGAAATATTAAAAATGCATGGTCTTCTTTGTGGTCTGCTGAAGCTAAGCAGGACAGGGACTGGTTGGTAATGTGATGGGGGACCTCTGGGAATGCCCGGTGCCACAGTAGGGCGGCTGCGGGTATAACGTGCCAAACTGTTGTAGTGTCCTGTAGTGTTCTATATATTTTCCTGTTTAAATCAGTTCATACAGGGATAAATGACACAAAATATTCAAGTGTATGAAATTCCATCCATCCATCCATCCATTTTCTACCCTTTAATCCATTTCTGGGTCAGGGGGGTGGCAATCAGAGATGCCACCCAAGTCTCATAGCACCAGCCCCTCACTGACCCTGTGCAGGTGGTGAGTCCACAGGAGGACGGCTGCTCTCTGAGTGTGAGCATAGCCTTGATCTTTCAGTGGGGGCTTTGGGCAAAGTGGGGTTAAGTGTCTTGTCCAAGGACACAACGACAGCAGTCATCAGTGGGAGTCGGTGGAGAAGGTGCAGAGGTGGGAATTGAACCCACGACCTTCTGGGCTTAAGGCCAATGCTCTACCAACTGAGCTACTGTCGCCCCCGAATGTATGAAATTAATTCTGTTCATTATTTTCAGGATGTGGGGAAACACTCTTGGTGATGAAGGAGCGTTTGCTTTTGCTGAAGCTTTGAGACATCATCCAAGTTTATCAAATCTCAGGTTCGGTCTTCAATATAACTATATGTACAGTTACAGTATATCTTCAGCCCAGGTCAGTAGTAAGTTGGCATATATGTTTAACAATAGTCAAAAACTTGCATCAAAACTAGATACTATTTGATACCAGAATTCAACACATCATTGGACTTTGCACTGTAGTTTTGGAAGTGTAGTTAGTCAGCTCATGTACATTCTTGACCTTCCTAACTTTGTGACTTTTTCTATTGCTTTATTTCAATGTCATTGTAAGTGATTGTAACCATAGCAACATACTGTTAACTTGCTACCTGTTAAATTAAGATAAGATAAGATACACTTTATTGATCTCGTCACATGGAGAAATGTACACGTCTCATTTGGCATAGATAGAATCACGCAGGGTGTTCAAAAATACAGGAAGTGTGCAAACATGTTAAAAAAGGTTAAAAATGTAGTCTCTCTTGTGTAATATATAATATGTACAATACAGCAAATTTGAATAAGCCTTTGAACAAACTGATTTTTGTTGTGTTTTTCAAGATATATTCACAATTATATTAAAAGTGAGTAAAGGTAAAATTGAATGAAACTGATGGTAAATTCACTAACTTTTGAGAATCTAAATATTTTGAATGGAAACCGTAAAAATGACGGCTCCTAGTGTTAATGACTGATATTTCTGCATGATTGTCTTTGTTATAGTCTGTCTGCAAATGGCATCACGTCAGAGGGAGGAAAACATCTGTCGTCAGCTCTTAAAGACAACAACAGCCTCAGGATCTTCTGGTATGACAGTAGGGTACTACTGTGTACTGTGTATACTGTACAATTCTACATGTTTGACTTTGAACTAATTGTACTAACGTACTGATCTTACTGGTTAAACCACTGTTCATGCTGGTGCCGTAGGCTGGTGCAGAATGATCTTTCAGACGACTGCGCCTCCCACTTCGCTGAGTTGGTCCGGACCAATACTGGACTGACACACCTCTGGTAAATACTGCTCTCTGTAATTACATTTTAAGTACATAATAAGTATATGTATTTGCCACATCCTCCACATGGGATGTCTATTCAAAAGTTACTCATTTCCAAATATCTGTACTTTCTACTCCTTACATTGTTTTATGACCAATTACTTTGAAGATGGCGACACAAGACAAAACAAAACAGATTTAAAGTGCTTGTCGTTTCTAAGTGTAATTGTGGTTATCCATACTTTTTCTATATCATTATATTCATTGTGGTTAGCCATGCTTCTAAGTGAATTCATACATTGTGGTTAGTCATGCTTCTAAGTGAATTCATTCATGGTGGTTAGCCATGCTTCTAAGTGCATTCATTCATTGTGGTTAGCCATACTTCTAATGTAATTCATGCGATATGGTTAGCCAATATGGTTAGGCACGTCCCACCGGGAGGAGGCCCCGGGGAAGACCTAGGACACGCTGGAGGGACTAATGTCTCTCAGCTGGCCTGGGAACGCCTTGGGGTCCCCCCGGATGAGCTGGAGGAAGTGTGTGTGGAGAGGGAAGTCTGGGCGTCTCTGCTTAGACTGCTGCCCCCGCGACCCGGCAACAGATGAAGCGGAAGAAAAAAAATTGATGGATGGATGGTTAGCCATGCTTCTAATTCAGTTCATTCATTATGGTTAGCCATGCTTCTACGTATATTCATTCACGGCGGTGGTAGCCATGCTTCTAAGTTCAGACATTTCAGTTCTACATGTTTTGTTTCATTTTCTCTGCCAAAATGAAACCACAGTATAATAAATGTTTAAATGATTCAAAGTCAACGCAAAACGTCTCAAATAAATATATTGTTGATCAATTATTCAATTAAAAATAGGAGGATTTTCTACTTCCAGGTGGATCATCAAGACTATTGGTCCTCCCAACTGTCAATCATTCTGGTGACACGTGCTCATCAAATAAGACCAGAGAGTTTTGTTCAAAAAGTGGAGAGGGCGGTTCTTTCCTAACATTTGGGAAAATCCTTCTCTAGACCTTTAAGTACAGAAAAAAGCTTGAACTTTTTCATGATTTCAGTACTGCTATCTGCACAAGACTCAATATTCTATACTTTTACTTATGTACTTCACGAGTGGATGGAGATTTTTACATAAATACATAAGAAAAGTGTGAGTCTCATACTTTTGTCTCGTCTCATACCTCAGGCCAAGTCACTTTTAATTTCATTGAACATAATATATCTTTCTTGCACAAAAGAGACAATAGTTTAACCTTTTTAACATGTTTGCACACTTTTATCTTATCTTGGACCTGTTCTATTTCTAAATGTCTCAGATCAGTTTGAGGATCAATCAAACCAGAAACATGCCATAGTCTCCCTCTTCATGCACTCAAATGTAGAGCACTGTTGGATTCATCACAAGTATTCAGTAAACCATGTATAAAGACCGGAAAAACTATTCTTAGATGGTGTCGAGAACCAGTTATGATCTGGAATCCAGTTTGGTTGTGTGTGTTTACCTCCAGGTTAATCAACAACAAATTCACCGTGGAGGGGATCCGGAGACTGGCCGAGGCACTTCCAGAAAACAACCATCTTAAAGAAATATGGTAAGGTCTAGTCTGCTCTGGTATGGTCTGGTCTGCTCTGGTAAGGTCCGGTCTGCTCTGGTTTGGTCTGGTCTGGTCTGGTCTGGTAAGGTCTGGTCTTCTCTGGTATGGTCTGGTCTGCTCTGGTTTGGTCCGGTCTGGTCTGGTATGGTCCGGTCTGCTCTGGTATGGTCTGGTCTGCTCTGGTTTGGTCTGGTCTGGTCTGGTAAGGTCTGGTCTTCTCTGGTATGGTCTGGTCTGCTCTGGTATGGTCTGGTCTTCTCTGGTTTGGTCCGGTCTGGTCTGGTATGGTCCGGTCTGCTCTGGTATGGTCCGGTCTGCTCTGGTATGGTCCGGTCTGCTCTGGTATGGTCCGGTCTGCTCTGGTATGGTCCGATTTAACTCATCACAATGGCAACGATACCAACGCTGAATTATTTGGATTATGTCTGAGCTCTGTGACTGATGTGTTTTTTTGTGCTGGGACAGTTTGAAAGGAAATCTACTGAGTCCAGCGGAAGAGGAAGAGTTTGTGGAGGAAAAGAGACTGCGCTTTCATTGAGGGGCCTCACTTCAGCAGAGAACCTTAAATCGTTAAACTATGTGGTGTGTTTAATGACCAAAAGGAGGAAGCAATGCCCCGGACTCAAATGTGTACACTTCCTCAACAAGTATCTTTTGTTTTGTACTTAAAATGTGTTACTGACGGTCCGCTCACACCCACAACGCCATAAACAGGCTTTATCACTGGTGTTGGTTCAAAAATATGTGTTTTTGAGTCTAATGTGATTTGGTTTATGAACGAATGTGAAATTTCAAGCCTGAAAGACTTCAGACTGCAGCCTGGGATTGAATCAGTCATTTTGTGCTGAGTTAAAGTATTGTATTTGTATTGTATTTATTTTGATCTCCATTAGCTGTGGTCAAAGTGAACAGAAGTCGTCCTACAGTCACCGATTTTAAACTACGAATGTGTTAAGTCACTGTAACAAAGTCCACATCTCGTGATCTGATAAAACCTCCCTGATGTGTTGAACAGAAACGTTTACTACAGCTCCATAAAAGATGTTTACTGGGATTTCTCTGTTACTTAAATGATCAACTCTATGAATCTAAAAACAGGAAGGTCGTTGTTCTTCTCAAGTTTCCTAATGGAATCATCCGGCATTGTGTCAAAGGGACTTTTACAACTCTCTTGTGTCATCTCAAAGATGCGGGGAAATGTTTAAGATGAAAGTTTCATCTTTGAACTCGTCCTGAACTTTATTAAAACTATTTGTAGAAATTCCATGATTTCATTTTGAAACTGATTCTTCACAATAAAACACTCTTCAAGTTTTGTCTCACGTGTGTTTACTTTCACTCAATATTATGAGCATAATATATTGTAAGCATTTTGTACAGTTATTAAATCCTGAAAGGTTCAAAGTTAATGCTCATAGCATTTGTTCAAGTTAAACGTGTGTCTGCGATTATTGAACATTCCAAAAACACTGAATTTTACTGATGACGCTTGACAAGGAAACAATGTTATAGTTCCAACATATCAAATAAAGGCTAATGTTAAATACTGTACCTCCCTCTTGTGGCGAAACAGAGTATTACATGGCTTCTGAGAAAAATTAGCCCCTGTCATTTATTAAAAGAAGAAGTCTGTTTTGAATGAGGCCATCCCTTATGGCAGCTGTAACTGCACTGATGTTTTATGTGAATGAACTAGAATCAGAAAACAGATGAGATAAACAGCAATATTCTTGTTTAGGTAAATTTGCTCAGTCTTGTTGCATTGGGACAGTCCGCTCTTCATAATTGTAAAGTATAACCTATAAATTATTCATTTGGCTACGACTGTTGCAAAGCTTTTTTTCGAACTAGATAAAGGTGATTACAAATGCATTACATTACTATTTTAGAACTAAAAACAACTGCTTTACTTCAGCTAAAAGATTGGGATACTTCATCTTCATCCATAAAATAGTTATTAAATCCCAGGTTTATTTGATATTTGATTTTAAATTGAAAACAAAACATTGGATTCAGGTTCTGCATTTTCCACAGATCTGAAGAACATTTTATTGCTAAACAAAATAAACATAGAAAAAAAACAATGTCAGAAACCTGTGGTCCCTAAAGCAGCAGGGAAATATTCACACAAATTCCATCTGTACAGTTCAGGATGCAAAAGAAACCATCTATGGTGTGTTCAGGCCAAAACTACAGTCACCACAGTGTTTGTAGAATATATGTGTGCGAATAATTTGTTCAAATCCAAATATAACAAGATTGTGCTTCCCTAAACAACACCAGGAGTCTTGTGCATTCAATTTCTTATCTCATTTTAATTACATTGAGGCAGAAGCGAGAGTGAGATGCACAGAACATTTTCACATCTTTTTTTTTAAATTCAATTCTTGTTCTTGCTTGACTTAGTTATGGCTTATATGTTGGCTTCACAGTACAAATCAGTTTTTTTTTTTCCTGGTGAATGGTTGACCACCTGCTCCTTGGAGAACTTCTATTGCTATTGTTGATATTCAAGTACATAGCTTCTAATCAAAACGACCAAAAAATACTGCAAAACACCCACATAAACATTTAAAATTAGGTGTAAAATCAAACTTGCATATTCAAAATCCTGGATCTAGGTTTAATGCAAATATTGAGAACCAACCAAAACAATTAGAAGCATGTTTATTATTACAATTACTCTGAATATCAAAATATTTCTACAAAATGAATGGATACATAATTTTTTTTCCGTCATACACAAGTGAATGCCATACCGCTATAGTCTAAGGACAGTCAAACCAATAGCATCGTCATGGAGACAAGAAGTGGGGAACGTCCAATAGAAAATGACCTTACGCTCACTGATCGTGTCTATACAATATTTTTGTACGTAATATTCTATGCAAAATTAGAATTAAAATACAATCGTTGTTGCATACGGTTTGAAATGCTGTCCTTTCGGGCCTGAACGCACCATATCTGTGTTGGCTGACGCGAGTTTGTCCCTCATGGGCACAGGTAGATAGTCCCTCACGATTGGCTACAGTCATCTCTCAAAAGCTGAATTCCAGTTCAATTCATGATTTAAAAAAACAAAAACAAAAAAAAGCATTGACAATAGAGAATATTCACAGTCGATTGGCACCATTTTAGCAACAGTTTGTGAAGAAATGTCTATAGTCTCCTTCATCCAGTATTTAAATTCCATATAGCTTTTTTTTTTAACAATCTTTTTGCGATGTATGCGTCCCTTCTCGGCCACATCTGAGCGTCCCCATTTTCAACAAAGGCACTGGTAGATGCTAAAAGTTGAGGGACATTCTTCTGCATGATTGCTCTCTTCTGCGTGGCGTGATCACACTGGAGGATGTGCGCAACCCCAAAGACAGACGTTGTTGACTTTGTATCCCTGAAGATTGCTTTAAAAGGTGAGATTTGGCACACTGCGGCACTACATCTTTATTGGTGGATTGGACAAAAAAAGGGGGTGATCACAGTGGTCCAGCAATGTGTCCTGGGACATTGAAGGGCAGGGCATGCTTATGGTGTGGTACCTGGGGGAAAAGACAGGGTGAAATAGCAGGAATGGCATAAATACAGGTTTTTGATATAGAGTATATACCTGTGCAAAGTAAGCTTTAATCAGATGGATGCTCTGGACACGATCTGTTCACTTCAAACCATTCATCGATACATCTGCAGCACAAACCAAACAGGGACAAGTGAGTGGAAGAAGAATAATGTAGACAAGGGTATATTTTTGTTTTTTTCTTCAAATTATTGAATTCAAATCACTGTGTGGAGTTTAGAAACCTCCGGTGGATTTATATGTCTGTGCATCCAATTCAATTCAATTCAATTCTCTTTATTTGCAATACTTCCACAGGTCATACACATACTAGTTTCTAAAGTTTAAAGGTAATTTGCAAAAGTGATCTCCCAGGAAGCTGCTTAAATAGCTTACAGGCGGGGCCCCAAAACATCACATGTAAATACTACAATAATGTTAACTTTTTTACCAACAAACTAATGATATACAATGTATATTACAGGCTTCTGCAACGTTTGAATGTGATTCTTTTGTGTGCATATTTCATATATTTATATTTGACCTTATTGTGGTTGTATGAGTGGTGAGCATGGGGCCTTTACTTTCCCTCACAGTGGTCTTTTAGATGCTGTAGGATCAATAATTTGGAATGTTTGTCGCTGCACTAATACTAGAACGGTGACGTCGCCCGGCATGGCGCAGCCGGGGCCCCACCCTGGAGCCAGGCCTGGGGTTGGGGCTCGCAAGCGAGCGCCTTGTGGCCGGGCCTTAGCCCACGGGGCCCGGCCGGGCTCAGCCAAAAGGGATGACGTGGGCAGTCCCTCCTGTGGGCCCACCACCTGCAGAGGGGTCCGTGGTGGCGAGGTGCAGCAAGGACTGGACAGCAGTCGAAGGCGGAGACCTCGACGACCCAGTCCACACACCCAACATCTGGCTCTTGGGACGTGGAACGTCACCTCACTGGGGGGGAAGGAGCCCGAGCTTGTGGGGGAGGTTGAGCGATACCGACTAGAGATAGTCGGCCTCACCTCCACACACAGCTTGGGCTCTGGAACCCAACTCCTTGAGAGGGGTTGGACGCTCCACTTTTCTGGTGTTTCTCGCGGGGAGAGGTGGCGAGCTGGGGTGGCCATACTCATTGCCCCCCATCTCAGCCGCCACGTGTTGGAGTTCTCCCCGGTGAATGAGAGGGTCGCGTCCCTCTGCCTCCGGGTGGAGGACAAGTCTCTCATTGTTGTGACGGCCTACGGGCCTAACGGCAGTGCAGAGTACCCGGCCTTCTTGGAGTCCATGGGAGGGGTACTGGACAGTGCACCGCCCGGGGACTCCGTTATTCTCCTGGGGGACTTCAACGCCCATGTGGGAAATGCCAGTGACACTTGGAGAGGGGTGATCGGGAAGAACGGCCCCCCTGATCTGAACCCGAGCGGTGTTCAGTTGTTGGACTTCTGTGCCAGTCACGGCCTGTCCATCACGAACACCATGTTCGAGCACAAGGTTGTCCACCAGTGCACGTGGCACCAGGACACCCTAGGCCGGAGGTCGATGATCGACTTTGTTGTCGTATCATCTGACCTTCGACCGCATGTCTCGGACACTCGGGTAAAGAGAGGGGCGGAGCTGTCAACCGATCATCACCTGGTCGTGAGTTGGATCCGCTGGCAGGGGAGGAAGCCGGTCAGACCTGGCAGACCCAAGCGTATAGTGAGGGTCTGCTGGGAACGTCTCGCTGAGCCCCCTGTCAGACGGACTTTCAACTCACACCCCAGGTCCCGGCAGAGGAGGGGGACATCGAGTCCGAGTGGACCATGTTCTCTTCCTCTATCGCCAATGCGGCGGCTCGTAGCTGTGGTCGCAAGGTCTCTGGTGCTGGTCCCGGCGGCAATCCCCGAACCCGGAGGTGGACACCGGCAGTAAGGGATGCCGTCAGGCTGAAGAAGGAGTCCTATCGAGCAATGATGGTTCGTGGGACTCCGGAGGCAGCTGTCCAGTACCGGCATGCCAAGTTGAGGTGGCTCGGGCATCTGTTCAGGATGCCTCCTTGACGCCTTCCTGGGGAGGTGTTCCGGGCACGTCCCACCGGGAGGAGGCCCCGGGGAAGACCCAGGACACGCTGGAGAGACTATGTCTCCCAGCTGGCCTGGGAACGCCTTGGGGTCCCCCCGGACGAGCTGGAGGAAGTGTGTGTGGATAGGGAAGTCTGGGCGTCTCTGCTTAGACTGCTGCCACCGCGACCCGGCAACGGATACAGCGGAATAAAATGGATGGATGGATGGATGGTTTGTCGCTGCTGATAGACCCCACACCAACAAACCTACACAATGATTGATCCTGGAGCCGTGAATGCTGCACATTCATACAGCCACTGGATCAGTACAAAGTCATGCACAATTCACTTGAACAAAATGATTTTTGATTCTCATTGATTATAAACCAATGTTGTTAAAAGAACACATATAAAATCATCTTGCAAATGCATAAACTCTAATCTAACAAAATAAATGTAATCTCATGTACAGTATAGTTTGACACAGTTTTAACAGCCGCTGTGTGTTTCTGGGCTGTATTTGGGTCGTGCATACTGATCTGCAGAATCTGGGCCCTATCCATCAGCCATAGGGTTGTGTCTAACATTACCTTACACTGGACCAATTGCATGGGACACTATATTTAGGTCTTCCCTCGGGAAGATACCTTTCCAAAACAGCATTAGGTTACACACAGAATGCGGAGTACACTTCACTACACACACAGCTCACTGAAACGACTCTGGTTTTCCTGAAGTAGTGTAAAGAGAGCTGGTACGCAGAGGTGAAAGTAGTACTACACATTTGTATAGCCTCTCTCATTACCATGAAGAGATACATCTGCCTAATCTATAAGTTTACAACATGAAGTAAATCTTACTGAGCAAAGACCTGATGGAATTATGTTTCATCATAATATCCCCCTAAAAAAAGTTATCATCGTAGGAATCTATTTTATTGCCAAGTGCTTGTGGGCAGCCCAAGCACGGAATCTAGTAGCAATAAAAAAAGTGTTATTTTAGTTCATCAAATATATCTATGCTTTAATATGGAAATAACTTGTTTTAATATTGCACCATTGAGCAAATGTAGAGTATTTGGTAAAGTGTCTGTTTACATAATACTTCTGGTTTCTACGGAGACCAAAAACAGTCACATTCCATCATGATCATTGGTCTTGTGTTTTTCATTGATTATTATGTCTTGGACCTGGGTGTGCATTGGGAAAAAAATAGATTTTTTTTTTTTAACACAATATTTTCATTGTTATCATTCCTGTGATGCCATCATCCCTTCAGTACCAGTATTCCTCCCATCTTAACTCAAACTTCTGAATGTGCGTGTGTGGTTCATGTGACCTCCCTCCTCTCCTGAGCGCAGTGTAAATCCAGGCTGTTTGAAATGCAGTCCACAGGAGCACTGCAGCGGGACACTGAGATATGGCTCTTACCCTTTGTGGTAGATGCAGAGACAAGGCAGGCGAGCGATGGTGTCCCCCTGGGTCAGCTCCTCCAGGCAGATGGCACACTCCCCTGCATCCTTCGTCAGGACGTCCTCTGTCACACAGGGAAAAAACAAATCAACCAATTAGAATACTGCAGCTTTACTATGATGCAGAGGGTCTCATGGATCGAATCAGGATCTTAGGTCTCTTGGCTAAAATGTCAGTTCCATTTTCAGGACAGTCTGAATGGAGTTTGCATTTTTTTAGTAGAAGTAGAAGGTCTTTTATTCGTCCCACAAGGGGGAAATTTCAGTTTGATAGATACACATACATATATACACATATACTGTACATACACATATACACATCAAGGCATTCTGATCTGGGTGGTGGTAGCCAAGCATTATCTTACATTGCAAGGGAAGGCAAGTTTATTTATGTAGCACAGTTCATTCAAGGCAACTCAAGGTGCTTAAGGCAAGATAGAAACAATTCAAGGCAATTCAATCATAAAAAAATAGCTAAACAGAACTGTTTTTAACCTGGCTTTAAACATTGTGAGAGAAGAGGCCTGTCTCACATTTTCAGGAAGACCACATTCATCTTAATATGATGATCCCAAATGTCACTTTTAAAAAAAGTTTTAAACAACCCTATTAACCATTTTTCTAAACTCCGTTCCAATAACCCAAGACCTAAACCTAGTCAACCATCTCATCTCATTCTATTCATAAGTCATATATTTGTACAATAATTTACTCATTGAGAAAGGGAAACCAGTTTAGTTCCAAGTTCAAACATTAGTAGAGTAGATATGACAGCAATAATCTCGCTTGTTCATTCATAAATTGTTGAAATAAAACAATTGAGCCACAAAAATGTATTGTATCAATTTGTAAAACTGTATTTTATTCTGTTGCACTTTGAAGTTTCCTGGAAATGTAAAGTGCAATATAAATAAAATGTATGATTATTATGATTCTATCAGGGCTGCTGTTTATACCTTGAATGTCTTTCTTCAGAGTTTCATTCTTTTATAGTCCTAAGGTGAATTTCTACCTCTGTATTCTTTCCCATTTTCTCCTTCCATTCCAATGTCTATTCTATTTTCCATTTTTGATTTCATTCCAATCTCCATTCTCCTTTCTCCATTCTCCAATCTCGGTCTTTGGATGGTACTTGGTGTTATGTGTTTTGTGTGTGAGATGTGACAATGCAAACGTTAGGCAGGTATAACGACACGATTTGAACCAAAGAAAACGGCCATGTGCCATATTACGAGTTATTTCTTATATCCGTCAATTTCACCCGAGCTTCAGAGTCCCTTGTGTGTGGCGTCGGCTGCTGCTGATGGTACCCTGCAGGGGCCGAGGATGCACAGTCCACTGATTGTTACGGTGGTGACATTTTCCTCCTATAACACAAGCTGCAGTTTTTAGCACCGCCAGTCCAGATTTATAACAGTCATAAAGTGAGCGGCGGGAGATAGATCTGCCTGCTTGACCGTCCGACCATTTAGGTTTATTTATTTATTTATAGAACCGTGACTCTGTGTTGGCCTCCAAATCTATTCAGTAAGATTAAATAGTTCTTTAAATGCATTTTCTCTCAAAAGATGTGTTTAAAGGGGCCATATTACGCTTTTTGACTTTTCTCTCATTGATTCCCTCAAGCTTTAGAGAGCGATCTTTCTCTTTGATTCTCCAGAGGAAGCAAAACGACCCGCTTCACTTTGTTACGTAGCACACTTTCACACGTAGCTTGTGCTCCAGAAGCCCCGCCTCCAGGAGGTGATTGACAGGTGAGAGGAACCGAAACAGCAAATCAGCATGCACCAACAGCCTGTTTCAGTGCATGGCCTCGCGTCTACCACTTTATGTTTTTTTTCAGCGAATAAGAGTGTTAGCATTAAGTCCATCCATCCATCTTCTTCCCTTTAATCTATTTCTGGGTCAGGAGGATGGCAGTCAGAGCGGCACCAAGTTCACATAGCACCAGCCCCTCACTGATCCTCCTGCAGGTGGTGAGTCCACAGGGGGACACTTAACCCCAGGCCATCTGGGGTTAAGTGTCCTTTGGGGGATTAAATGTTTGGACACCCCTAGCTTCTAGGGGTGTCCAAACATTTCAGTAAGAGGGCCCCTTTAGTTAACTATACTTGTCCAGGGGCCAACAACCCGGATTGAAGAACTGTTTTTACTGGATTGATGCTGGTCTAAGGTTTAATGGTAGAATGACAAATGTTTACAATCTCAGCAGCTACTATAGACAGAATTTCGGGATCCAAAACCAATGCCAGTAAGTACAAATAAAAACATGCTCACTGGGTTAAATTTTCCAGCTCTGGTAGTCCTGACCAAGCTGAGCATCAACATTTGGAGATGGGTTCCCCGGCGCTGTACTACGGCGATCACTGCTCCTGACGTAAGCCTTCGCGGCATCAGGATGGCTCAAATTCAGAGGATTGAATTGCCCTACGGGGATTAATAAAGTGCACCTTTACCTTTACCATCCATCCATCCATTTTCTTCCCCTTAATCCATTTCTGGGTCGGGGGGTGGCAGTCAGAGCTGCACCCAGTCCACAGAGCACCAGCCCCTCACTGATCCTCCTGCAGGTGGTGAGTCCACAGGAGCTGAGATCTTTCAGTGGGGGCTTCAGGCAAAGTGGGGTTAAGTGTCTTGCCCACGGACACAACGACAGCAGTCATCAGTGGGAGTCATGAAGTAGGTCTTACTGTGGGCTCGAACCCACGACCTTCAGGCCCAAAGGCCAATGCTCTACCAACTGAGCTACTGTCGCCCTTTACCTTTACCTTTAGACTAAATTCTGGAGGTCCTGAGATAGAGGGTCTAATTACCAACACAATTATGTTAAACGTTTGTTGGTTGTGTACACAATGTCAGCGTTTATGCACGTTACGATTGATATATTGATTATACGGGCCTCAAGGAGTGTCCCGACTGTCTCTGAAATGCCAAAGGTCAGTGGGCCATACACTCAGTATTCAAGTCTATACACCTTTAGTGAGATTTTGTGTCCACCAAGCATGAAACTAACATAAAGCAAATCTATTCTTGTTCCTGATTCCTGTTGGATAAAAACATAAATCTACTGTAGATTTGTAGCCAACTTTATTGGCAAAATACGGTATTGTCTGGTTTTTGAGCTAAACGCTACTGTCAGCTGTTTTCAACCACTATGAAGAGAGAGAGAGAGATAGAGAAACAAAGAGAGCAGAAAGAGAGATCGAGAGAGAGAGCAGAGAGACAGAGAGCAGAGAGAGAACGAGAAACATAGAGAGAAAGATGAAAAGAGAGAAAGGAGAGCGGAGAGAGAGGGAGAGAGAGAGAGAGATTAACAGAGACAGAAAGATAAAGAGAGAGAGATTGTTCAAAGGCAAGCACCGAATCGACCCACCCATATTCACCCTTACAGGTTTTGATTTTTTTTTTTTTAATCCTTGATTGATGGCTGGGATTTCTTACTGATTGGCCAAGCAAATCCTACTGGTGCTGTCTATGCTAAGAGGAGCTATATTATCTTTGAAAAAACACATGATACTACATATGGTGAAAAATACACATTATTTTAAAAATACAAATAAAACTTTTGCTGAAATCACCATTAGAAAGGAACCAACCTAATCTGGGGTGAAATACAGGTATAATTTTAATTCTAAATATCCTTTTAAGTGAGTGCAGCATGAAGCATCACCTGCAGCCAAACCCACAGTCATTAGGGCCAGCGCTTATGTAACAGTGGATTAACCCACATACGCCTGGAAAAGCCACTTATGGGTCACTACAGCACATGGCAGAAGCTCAGCTGAAGGCGGACATGTCTGAACTGTGACTGTGGTCTGTTGGATGCAAAGGGACGAGCACTGAACAGAATTTCACAAGGCCCTACGGAAACAGAAGCCTTGTTCACTGCTCTTCAAATAATGATAACAGTGTAAATGCTTCTCACTTTTAGCAGATTTTAATCTCTTGTTTCGGTGGAGTCAATCAACCCTGTCACTGTTCATTTCCTCAGATGTTGATATATTCATGAAATACACCTACAAATTGTCGAAAAGTATTTGCCATTTGCAGTGCATAGCATTAAAATAAATCACAATCTATGTCGTTTAAAGCCATCACCACTATTAAGTTACCTTCTTAAACCTGTATTGGTAATACTAGGAAGTTTGAGATGATTCGCTCAAGACGTAACAGGGTAAAATGTAAGCTTTACCAATACTTTCCAAATGGGAAATAAGTTTAAATCTACATAGGGTCTGCCTGGGGAAAAACCAGGTCTAACCAATTATCTCACCAAGTTCAGAGCCATACTGGTCGTGTATGTGGTCTCTGGTGGCAGAGACCATCCTTCCAATGCCACTAGGGTCTTTGTCAGGAGCAGTGATCGCCACAGTACAGCACCCGGGTAATCATGTCGGATTCGAAGGATTTGACCTTTTTTACATGTTTTCAGTGGCAGGGGAAATCGGAGCACCTGGAGGAAAACTACATAGACACAGAAAAAACATGCAAACTCCACTCAGGAAGGCCCTGTTCCAACCGGGATTCTTCCTGAGAAGCAAGAGCGTGAACCACTCAGCCACCATGCAATGTTTGTTTCTGTCCTGTCCTTTAATGTCAATGGACGTTCATGTCAAATGTAAAGCAAAAATTATAAATATCAGGATGAGCAACCACCTAATAATCTAAATTAGAATGCTAATTATTCTAAGTTATGGGTGATCAAAGCAAAATTAGTATTTTCTTGCAAATTCAATATATGTAAACACATGTTTACTTTAACCGGGTATAAAGAGAAGATTTCTCACTTGGCCAGTTGAACCTAGCTTACAGAGTAAACCAGACCTGCCATCAACTTTTGCTCCAGTTTGAAATGAGGTTTGGGTCCAAAGTCCCGCTGGTCACTGCCCTCCTGTCGTTGTGAACACAGACAGCTGCTGCTACAGACAAAACACTGGGTTTATATTTAGCCACGAGAGCCCAGAGTGAGAGCGAGGAAATGCACAGATTCAAAGAGGGATCACCTTCACGTGTTCATGTTTCAAAGCAATACTTTGTTATGTGTTCATGTTTCAAAGAAACATGA